GTAAAAAACAAATAAATAAACCAATGAGTACAATAATCATTCATAGGAATAATGATATAATCTTACAAATTTCATTTTTAAATTTCAAGCTATCACGTCCCTTCAAACTATCTGGAACTTTATTGTAACATATATATAAAAAAAACTCCAAGAACAGCATCGAAAACCTCGCCTTTCTGCCGGATTTCTATCAAAAGATATCAGTCTTTGGTGTTTGCAACAAAACGTAGACGTGACGTCACATTCGCATGTGGATCCAAACAAATTCTGCTTTTGTGTATGTAGATACTTTGGTTCAAAACCAGAGCCATATTTCAGCTATTTGAGTCAACCCGTATTTAAGTGAGAGTCGTAGGATTTTTATACTCCGAGTCTACGGTATCCGAGCGGTTGTGACGTCACGCTTCCATAGTTAATTTGCAAATATCTCAAAAACCGTCAGGCATAAAATGATGTGGCTTAAAATATTGAAGAAATTTTGATTTTTGGTTTATATTACACCCCCTCTAAAGGATTAGGTGCTCTGTGTAAACTCCTATAATTTTTTCTGCGTGGCCCCCTCCAGACAAAATTTCTGGCTGCGCCACTGCTATACCATTACATATTTATATTTCAGTTATTCCAGTGTGAATTTTTTTAGTAATTTCAAGTATGTATACCTTTGAATTTATTTTTTGTTTGATTTCATGTTACATTTCACCTACGTGTTTATTGAAAGTCGATTTCTCAGGAAAACAAATAATTTGAATTATCAACCTCTTATCGTTTTAATGAGCAGCCCAAAGATTTTTTCAGTGGTAGCTCGCAGGCTAATATTACGGAACCATGCGGCACTACCTTATTTTTCTGTAAAATATATTTTTTGTCCTATAAAAGTATTGAGAGGACTGAGAGGAGCGCGCGGATACGTCACTGACTATTAAGATGTGTGGTTTTGAAGACTTTTGAGCGTGGCACCTCAAAAAAAAATTCCGCCTATGGCGGGCATACCTGGTGTGCCCCCCCCCCCCCAGAACCTCAGGCTGGATACGGCACAGCTATTTTGTCTCATAATCTGTTGCTCTATGCTATATTTTTAAGGAATCCATAAGGCATCGGCTCTTTTCAGTTGAAATGGATCGTTTGCACCGACCATTTTAACGGAAATTCAGAGATAATCAACACATGTAAAAAAGTCAATGTTGATTATCGTTAAACCTCCCTTAAAATGGTCGGTGCAAAGAGCCATTAATAACTCAATGGGACCATGAAAAAGTATGCTTTCATCTACTTCAACAATGTCGTCATAGCCTGCTTAGGCCAAGTAAAAGTATCTAGCTATGAGGCTTCTTAATGCATTTAGCTATCTGAAGAATTGTCAACTTAATACTTCATTTTCAGATGGATGAGATGTAGAGCTTAATGTAAATTCTGTCCAGCTACGCTAGCTATGGACCGGATTTAGGCAGAGTTCCTTGCTGGAATAAAATCTTGGAGTCTGTCTACACTTACTTTACCCGAGGACTCATCTAGAAGCCAACAAATCGAGGAATTCCTAATTTTAGCTCTACCCTAACATTCATTTTTATTTTTTATTTATTTATTTATTTTATTTTATTCAACAACAACAATAATAACAGTAGGTATTGATGACACCAACAACATAAATACAAATTAATTTAAAAAAAAAAAACACCTAGATATATTAAATATCTATAGGTATGTGTTTTTAGTGAGAGATTTACACCATATTCTCATTCACACATATTGTTTGACGACTCTATGATCCAACCTGAAAAAAGGAATATTACAGACACCAATATCAATGGATACCCTAATAAAATTATTTCGATAAAGAGATTTTTCTGTAAAATCAGTTTCGGTAAATTTATTGGAGAAATCTTTCAAGTCCAATGAGTCTATTTCAAGGACGTATATAAGGGGGGGGGTTTGGGGATTCGAACCTCTTCCCATTGAACTGAATAATTTAATTTTTTTAAGAAAAATAAACCCGTTTTTGGGCGTGGCACCCGAAAAAATATGATTCGCCTTCGGCGATATCCTGAGCTATGCTACGCCAAACAGTGCCGGCCCGAGGTTACTTTTAGGATGGAGCGAGATCCGATTTAATTAAGTAAATGCGAATCGTATCCACCGATCAGAGCTGTTCTAAGTACCAAGAAAAAGTACTTAAGTATCAAGTACAAGTTTCTTTTTTGATACGAATCAAGTACCAGTACAAGTAAATTGACTTGAATTGCCCAAATTCAAGTACAAGTACCAAATTCCACGAAAGTCAGAGATAAGTTAGTATTATCTTAAACTTGCGTACTTGGAATGATATTCACGTAGAAATACTTCAAAAAATAATCTAAGTATTTCTTATTTCAAGTATTGTTCGAATTAAAAACAAATTAAATTATTGCTATCGACAATCTTAATGGGGGTGTGACCCAAAAATAGAAGTTTTAGAAAAAATATCTAAGAACAAATTTTCAAACCGCACTAGGTTACGACCAACCGTTGCGAAGATACTGTGGTATAAAACTCCTACTCCTAGCACTGTGACGTCATATGCACAAACTGAGTCCGACAGCCGGCATTCGCGCGCGTTTGCTGATTCTTGCTGCATATGTTAGTTCCAACCGACAGGAAAACCGTTCCAGAACCAGTAATTTCCAGTTGCCCACCCATTTTTCAATAAGTTGATCATTTATTCTACTTGACAGATGAATTGATCAACTGGAAATTACCGTTCTAGAACGTTTCCCATGTCGGTTGGAAGAGAGCTATTATCGACATTATCGTATGGTTTTTGCGTTCCCATACCTATTGCTGCATCAGTTTAAATAGGTTTTGCAATTTTTGCGTGTGTTTATGACGTCACGCGATGAATAGACAAAATTATATTTAGCCGTATCTATTTTATTATTTCGAGTAGCGATGCGAGATTTTCACAAGAATTCTTAGAATTTTCTTCTTTATTTACTGAATACAAGTTGTATTTTAAGGTTACACCCCCTTTAATGGGAGATATTCAGTATAGGCGTCACAGGCACGGGGATTGGTATTGGGAAACGCCAGCTGGGCTCTTCCTACCTACTGGCCGGGTTTCGGCTGCTGTCTTATCACATACTTACTACCCTTTTGCTCGCAAGCAGGATAGCAGAATATTGAAAAGCGAAGACAGGATTCAGGGCAGTGTGTCTATCTGATTGTAAAAATCATAACTCCGTTATCCTGGACTATTTCTTCATAAAATTTGAATATGTTGAAGCTAAAAGCTTCCTTAATAAATAAAAAAAATTTGGATGATCCAGGTTTCCAGAATTTTTAGAAAAAAAATCAGGAATGAGGCCATCAGGCTATGGCAAAGATACATCACTAAGTGTGTCTGTCTGATTGTAAAAAACATAGCTCCGTTATTTTAGGCTATATCTCTATAAAATTTTAGTATGTTGGAGCTAAAAGCTTCCTTAATACCTACATAAAAAAATATTTGGTTATTCTAAGTTTCCTGAATTTTTAGAAAAAAATTCAGGAATGAGGCCATCAGGCAATGGCAAACATATCACTAAGTGTGGCCTATTGGACTGGACTATTTTTCAATAAAATTTTAAAATGTTAAAGCTAAAAGCTTCCTCAATAAGCAAAAAAATATTTGGTTCCTCCAGGTTTCCCAGATTTCCAGGAAAAAAATCAGAAATCAGGCCATAGGCTGTAATGCAAAAATATCACTCAATCGGGTTCTCGGATTAAAAAAATCGTAACTCAGCTATCTTTGGTTTTTATCCAATCAAAGTTTGGTATGTCGAAGCTGAAAAGCTCCTGGATACCTATATAAAAAAATTCTACATTTACCAAAGTTTCCCAGATTTCCAGGAAAAAAAAATCAGAAATCAGGCCATATAGGCTGTAATGCAAAAATATCACTCAGAGGGGCTTTTGAATTAAAAAAATCGTAACTCAGCTATCTTTCGTTTTTTCCGAACCAAATTTTGGTATGTTTAAGCTAAAGGGCTCTTGGATAAATGAAAAAACTCTAAATGTCCCAAAGTTTCCCAGATTTCCAGGGGAAAAATCAAATATTAGGCCATAGGCTGGGCTTAAGGGATTAAACAGATTTCAGAAACATATTTTTCTCTTTTTTTTTCCACCAAGGAACAAGTCGGAGGCGCCCCTCTAGGTCTGGCGCCTGGAGTGCTCGCTCCATTCGCCTTATGGTAGGGCCGGCCCTGACGCCAAATTACCTATAGGTACATCGTCTGGTCTAAAATTGGACCCCCTTCCAGCATGGACCACGAGCCGCCACTGCTCTAAACCCCCCCATGTAAAAACTATAGCTACGTCGTTGGTCTATTTCATCTTCAGGTGGAGTAATGTTTCCTTTCGTGTTTTGTTGAGCCATAGTATCATCAGTAAGGTATCGTCTATGTCTTGGTCGAATACATGAGAATATGAAGGATACATGGAATTACATAAGGCTTGTTCACTGGAATAGGGACATGGGCGATTCACTCCTCAATTTTTGTCTATGAAAAATTTTCAAATTAGAAAAATTTCTTAAAGAGATAAATGATAACATTCAAGAAATGCAATTCAGGTTTAATAAAATTTGAAGGAGCTGAAAAAATGTTAGTTCAAGATCACACAAATAAGATCAAGATTGTCCAAACTTATGACGGGCTAGCCCTTAGACTATATAACTTCATAAAGTATGAGCATTTATAGTCCAAGGGCTCCGATGTGTAACCCTCCCTTCACCATCATGTCAAGATTCAATTCATGACACACTAGAAATTAGAAATTAGAGAGATACTCTGATGATGGAATTAATCATTTACCAGAAGCTCTTTTTTATCAAATTTTAGAAGAGACAGTCAGTTGCTGATCAGAATATTTAGATTTTCCTGAAATCTGTATGAAAATTTTTACATTGCTATGAAAATCTGCTTGGAGCAGGTCTAGCAGATACAACTGAAAACCCCTATAAAATTTGACAGTTCTCAAAAATTGACAAATCTAACCTCACTTAACTTGTAAACAAAAAAAAAGATCAACAACGTGGTAACAACTTCTGTTTTCTTTCCTTAATTAATTATTTAAAACTAAACTAAATTAATAAATAATGTTGCGACGACAGGCCCGCCTAAGGCGAGAATATTTGTACAGAAAAACTGCCGAAGACAAACAACGGACCATACAAGACAACAAGAACCGAATCAGGAAAAATCTGGATCAAAATACGGCGATACACGGAGATTTACAAAAGAAAGCGTTGCATTACTCCAAAAAGTTGGAATGGGAAGACGCCGGCCCTTCGCAGGCCACTATAATGGGTGGCGAAAGTGGTGGAGCCACTGCTAGTTCTCAAGATGATGAATATCGTTATGCAGGTACCTTGTTATACTTATAGGGCCGGTTTATTCACCTTCTAATAACATAACTGTCAGGTATCCAATAGAATTATGAAGCGGTTAATTTATTTACCATCAAGTTTATTTGAAGATGAATAAACCAGGCCTTAGCTTTGGCTACATTCCTCAAACTCAAACAATTATTTTGTGCTCAATTTAAATCATGAATTGGTTGATTGATTTCTTTCCAACAGGTGTCGAAGATCCAAAAATCGTCATAACAACATCCAGAGACCCCAGTTCAAGACTCAAAATGTTCGTCAAAGAAATGAGATTAATATTCCCAAATGCCCAAAGACTAAATCGAGGCAACTACGAAATGAAACAGCTAATCCACGCTTGCAGAGCCAACGATGTCACTGATTTCATTGTGGTCCACGAACACAGAGGTGTTCCAGACGGCCTAGTGGTATGTCACTTGCCCTACGGCCCCACAGCTTATTTCAACATGTCTGATGTGGTGATGCGACACGATATTCCAGATATTGGGACAATGTCTGAACAATATCCTCATTTGATTTTTCATAATTTCAAGACGCCATTGGGAGAAAGGACTGTTAAGATATTGAAGTTTTTGTTTCCTGTTCCTAAGGAGGATGCAAAAAGAGTTATTACTTTTGCTAATCATGATGATTATATTAGTTTTAGACAGCATACTTATAAAACAGTGGACAGAGAGGTGAGATACTTATATTTAATAATAAATAATTGAACAAAAACAATGGAAATCTTTAAAACAAATGTGTAATTTTTAGCCAATTTTTCAAGGATTTTGATTTCGTTCCAATTCCCATCATAATGTTGCTTTTTTGGAATCCATATTTTCAATTTTAATATCATAAATCCACATAATGTTTTCTTTCAGATTGAATTGTCAGAGGTGGGACCTCGTTTTCAATTGAGACTGTATGAAATCAAGTTGGGCACATTGGACACTGCCGATTCTGCAGATACTGAATGGGCCTTAAGGCCTTACATGAACACTTCGGTCAAAAGGAGGTTTTTCAGTGATGAAGATGGGTGGAAGCAAGATGATGAAATTGATGATTGAGTCCACTTTACTTGTGTTTCATCTTGACCTCATTGTCTTTTAATGATTTGAATTTGAGGTAATGAGAGGGTGATAGATGTTCAAAGTAAAGTTGGCTCATGACAATTACAAATTACCTACCAAGAAGATTAAAGCATTTTTAACGTTGTAAATAGCAATTATTCTGTTTTTATTATGTATTGAAATTTTTGTCAATTATAAAAATAATTTTGTATTTGTATTTTTTATTGGGAATACCTAAAGCTGATAACCTTTTTTACTTTATTTATCTTATTGATTTATTCATAAGTGAAGATATAAAAAAAAATCAAGTTATCAGCAGCGACAAAAGGTCTGATAGCTTGTTGTAAAAGACAGAAGAAATATTATTGAATATACAGACATTGATGAAACAGCAAAGGCAATACTGAGCAAAGTAGAATATTAAAAATCTTCAAACTGTGTAAAAACTATACAAACTTTATCTTGAAAGAACAAGAAATTTCAACACTGCAAATAAAACTTCACAAAAAAAACTGAGAAAGGTAAAGTAAAAGGAGGAATTCGACATTTATATCGCTGAAACTTTTCACCTTGTTTTGATTTAACAGGCTAAATAGAAATGATAAAGGGACTAAACATCCCTGTAGAAAACCTCAACAATGAACATGGGAAAAATTAATAAACCATACATATACCTTGGCAAATATTTCCACTATCTCAAAAAAAAAAATTGTCCTAAAGCAGTTCCCAGACAGCACAGAGACATCTTGAAAGACCTCCCTAAGATGTCCACAAACAACATTCAAACTTTTTTGCATTATCATACAGTTTCCTATGTACAGTTTTTGAATAATCATACAGTTTTGTATATTTTCGTATGGTCCTCCATTCATAGGTCGATCGAGTGACGAGTGTATACCACTGGTGTTTTCCTGTTTCTGACTAGCCTCTCAACATTTCCATGTTAGTATGAGTTCAATCCTATGTACAGTTTTTGAATAATCATACAATTCTGTATATTTTCGTATGGTTCTCCATAATTCGTAGGTCGATCGAATGTACCTAATCCTGAATTAAATTTCCTAAAAGACTTAAAATTCAAAGTGTTCTGTAGCATTTCAAATGGTTTCCAATTACTTATTATAAATTGAATGAGAAACTAATTCTGTGGGGAAAAGAAAAAATGTACATAAACAACATTCAAGACGTTTTTTAGGCGTTTGCTTACGTGTTCAAGGCATTTTAAAGACGTCGCATGTTACAAAACCCAACGTCTTTCAAACATTTGCCTAAAAACGTCTTTATGATATTTTTCCAAAACATTCTAACGTCTTTGAATCTCTTTTAAATACATAAACCATTATAGGTATTCGCACAAAACGGTATTCGCTTTTAGGCCCAGTTGTACCAAATAGTATATGGCTCAGTTGTTTTCGAGATGCTAATTTACGAACATCTAAAGACGTCCATTTTTTTGTCTTCAGACGTTAAGACGCAAATGCAGACCTAAAAAATCGTCTTTAAGACTTTTGTGTGCTGTCTGGGTTTTGACCTACATATTTCTAATCATACCAGACATCAATACATATCCAATGCTTCTAATTAACAAATTCTAAAGAAAATATCATACAAAGAAATTATTACAGGATTGGATCAAAAGGTCTATAATTAAAAAGTTATGTTATCCAGTTCCAGTTATCACATGTGATAGATATCATATATATAAATTACCTAAAAGTAGCAATTAAATTCGCTTTGAATTATAGTAGAAAAGTTACCTAATTAACCTGGACAAACAAAAAGACGAATAGTCTCTATTAAGAATTGAATAGACTAAACACTGCTTAAAAGGTCAAATAAATTACAGCTAAATTTGATATGTAATAAAACCTTTTAGTGTAGGTACATTACCAAATTCTACTAATTACAGCTACATTTGGTAGGTAATAAAACCTTTTAGTGTTACGAAATTCTACTATTTATCTTTCATAAAGGGAAATACACGTTCAATTTCTTTCAAGAGTAGGTAGGTAATTCAGTGACTATTAGAAAATATTCAAAAATCAACTTTATCCAATTGATTTAAAGTTTTTGAAGTTGGTTCATTATTAATTAAAACAAAAAAATCCTTCTTACTTCATAAATAATGTACATGCAAAAATATTTATAAAGCAGCAAAGGATTTTTTGTTTCAATTAATTAACAATTGATTCAAGTTGAACGATTCTTTTGGTGATGACTTATCAGGTAGGTAGGTTTCTAAACTTCAGGATTTTGTTCCTAAAACTTCTTTTATTAGATAACCAAATTGTTGATGATACTAGCCGGAACATGGCAACTAGACTTAGGAGATGTATCGAAAACATGGAAGACAATTTATAAAATTTACTCTTTTATGTTATTTATACCTTATCATGCAGGACCAATAATGTTCCTTTTGAAATTTTATCAACTACTTGGAGTGGATAACGATAAAGGTAAATAAAATAATCCTCTATCTTATGTGAAATTGTAATTAATTTCAGCTGTTGAATGTCTTTCGATGCTCATTACAGTAATTTTATTAGTAATTAAAATGACCTTATGCAAATCAAACAAAATGACCACTGTACTAAAGCATTCTATTGAAAAAGTAGATGAAGCTCTGAAAAATGGAAATGAAACTGTAAAATCAATTTATAATAATTATATGCAATTTGCTAATAGGCTAAATTTACTTCTAACTTTATGGTCTTTTCTTGTTGGAATATTCCTGCTAATTACCGGTAAAATGCATCTTTAAGTTACTTCAATATATACATCTAAAACACAACAATTTCAGCTATTATAGAAGACGTAGATTATTTGACAACTCACGAAATCACGCACGGTGACATGCCCCTGCAAGTACTATTCTGGTATCCATTCCCTTACTACGAACATTACAAAATAGTTCTTGCATATCAATCATTTTCCGTATTGTCTTCTGATTTGTACAACAGCTACTTGCAAGCATTACCTAACACCATAATGACGCAAATTACTGCCGAACTTAAAATACTGCAGCACAATATTAAAAATTTCACCAGAGACGATGTTACAGGAGAAGAATTGTCTAAGGAAAAAGCTTATTTGAAGTTGAGGGGTTTCATTGTTGAACATCAGAATACTATTGAGTAACTAATTGCATTGATCAATCTGATTGTTTAGTTAATTGAAATATTTTTAAGTCAAATTAGTAAATTGAATCGTGCTTTGAGGATGAATCTTCTTATTGAATATGCCGTATCTTCGATTATGTTAGCATCTATACTTGTACAAATTGTTAGCGTAAGTATAAAATCAGTATGACCAAAAGTCCCTTTTTTAAATTTATTTATAAATTTATTCTCATGCTTTGTCATTTATTATTATTTTTGCATCCATTTTTTCAACTTCTTAGATTCTTATTTTAGTTAGTAAGTACAATGCTTATCTGGACTTTCCATTATTAAAGTTTCTCATCCAAATTGATGGATTTAGACATTTTTATCTTTATTTTTATTTAGGATTTTAGGAATTTTTGTTCAATTTCAATGTAGGTTCCAACACCTTTATTTCATTTTGTGATATGTTTTTTTTTTTTTTGCTTATTTGTTTTTGTCTTTTTCCAATTCAACTCCTCAGTTCGTATTTCTAACTTTCCTCTCTGGTTTTTCCCTTTATCTGGCTAAAAAGTATAGTCTTTCTCCTTTTTAGATACCTATTTATTAACGATGTTTTGTGTATATTATTATTATTCTTATTCAAGGGCAAAAAAGTTATATTTAACTGCATCTACTTTGGAGCACTTGCTTTTGGCTGGTTTATGCTTTCTTATAATGCAAATGAAATCCAATTTCAGGTAGGTACAATAATTATTATTATTAATTTACTTATATTAAATATTAGTGGATAATTACACTCCTAAAGCTCGTGATGATTGCACTCTACAATTAAAAATTAAGCAATTATAATATAGCAAAATCATTCGAAATATACCTAATAGGTACTTTGGAAAAATTCGAACCAACTCATTGAATTATGATTTTGGAATATATAATCTTCTAAACTAAACATTTTATGCAGCATTTGCTTAAAATTTTTAAGAAAACCTGCTTTCTTTTTTTAAAGAGTACAGAAATATCAATGGCTTTATATGAAAGCAACTGGTACAAACAAGACAAACGAACCAATCAGTTGGTGTATATATTGCTGATGAGGACCCAAAAACCGTTATATGTGCAAATAGGACTATTTGGACCAATGACTATTGATGCGGCAATTTCTGTAAGTTTATTTTTCTCGTGGTTCAAGCAATTTCACAGCAAACATTGATTATATTGACATTATATAACCTAGAAGTAACAAGTAATATTCAGTATTCAGATAACAGTTACTTATTCGCAATTAGATTTACATTATATAACGACAATCAGTTATATAATTCATAGCATAGGTATAACGACTAATGTAAAATATTTAGGTGCATATAACAAATGTGAGATTCTATAATCATTACACTGAAAGTTTTATAAACTTATGTTATATTACATTGTTATATAACTATTCCATTGCGTCTTAGTTACGAGTGGAAAATAGTACCTAACAGAAACATTACAGATTTGTTATACACTGGCAATATTACTTGTTACAGACAATAAGTTAAGGAAATATATTTATGTAATGGTAATATATAATATATAAGCTGAATTTACAAGATAATCTTTTTGTTTCAGAGATTCAAACTTGCCTATTCCTACGTGTCAGTTATGTCGCCCTAAATTCAAACTTGATATATAAAAATTACCCTTATAGATTTGGTAGAATAGTTGCTTCATGTATTGAATTTACTTCTGGTACCTAGATAATGCGTTCATTTAAAAACCGTAGTAAAATATATACCTATTGGATTAGTTATATTATGTTGTGTGCAAATTAATTTAGAAACTTTTAAAACTTCATCAATAAAAGGTACATATTTGCCATTATTTAAAGGTTTTTTATTTTCCTTATTATATGTCAGCAAACGTTACCTAGCCAGAAATTGATTGATTTGAAAGAGGTGGAGATGTCAGGCTTCAATCTTGGATGTTGTCAAAAGGAAGCATTTCGTCATTAGGAATATTTTATTTGAGGATGCTCTCCAATCACGCAGCTCCAACGACGTAGCTATAGCTTTCACATGGGGGGGGTTAGAGCAGTAATGGCCGCTCATGGTCTATGCTGGAAAGGGTTTCAATTTTAGACCAGACGATGTATAGGCGACCGAGCGTAGCATAGTCAGAGCTGTTTCGAGTACAAACAAAATGAACTCGGCTACCGGGTACAAGTACTTAGCGTAGAATGTTCTTGAGTACAGAGTACAATTACAAGTACGTATTCAATACGCAAGTATTCAAAGTACCGTGTACATTTATTAATACATTTTAATATCACCTTGCATTCCTACCCAATGATGTCATAGATACAAGTTATTACGCAACGTCCTCTTTTAAACAGCCTTGATCTATCATGGAAATCTAATAAATCCTCATAGGCTGCAAGCGCTGAGGTAGCTGCGAACTTAGCATTGCACATGGGTTATGACGTCACCTCCCCTTTCACACTTCCTTCACATTTCCCAAAATACCATCAAACCGCCGGTATAGATATTCACACATCAAAAATTGAAAAACACATTTTGGTTTACTAAATGAATTCAGCAATTTTGAAGTTTGATTTGGTTATCCAGAGTTCAGAGTTAATAAGGACTCGGTTATAACTGATAACTGCACAAATTATAATGTATAATTATATATTCTGAATCAGAATTAAATTATCTTTAAGATAGAATAAGATTCAATTCTCTATCTTAAATACTTCTAGAGATATTGAGGCTCAAAGTCAAAACTTTGTTTCAAATTTCACAAAAGATTCAAAGCTGATTTTCTCGAAAACGAAGCCCTTGGTTTCGGAGTCTCAAATAACCTTTTTTATAGCTCTTCTCCAGAGCTACATTTGAGCAAAAGATTCATGCCGATAGCTTTACTGGTTTCTAAAATATGGCCCTTTGAAATATTTGAAAATCAAATTTCCATGCATAAGTACCCCTTTGAAAAAATTTGAATTTTTAAATTTTTGAATTTTGCAATTTTTGACTTCACCAATCGAAAGAGGAGGTGAAAATTAGTGGAAAAGCATTTACGCAACTTTGTTTTTTGGGTTTAGGGCTTGTAAAAAAATAAAAACCGTTTTTCCACATTTTGGGCCCAGAAAATTTCAATAATCTGACATTGTCTCATAAAATCGCTCATTATTCGGCACATTTTAAGATGTATAATTACATATTTTGAATCAGAATTAAATTATCTTTAAGATAGAATAAGATTCAATTCTCTATCTTAAATATTTCTGGAGGCTCAAAGTCAAAACTTTGTCTTAAATTTTACAAAAGATTCAAAGCTGATTTTCTCGAAAATGAAGCCCTTGGGTTCGGAGTCTCAAATAACTTCTTTTTATTGAGATAAAATTCAGTGAATATTTCAACTTTCTATCTATAATAGAAAAAAAGTTATGACCTTTCAAAGTTTTCCAAAATCTAAATCATAAGAAGTGCTTTATGGGTTTGCAATGGGGTTGCTTATGACCGTGTTTGGGTTGTGCTTCAGCCTTCAAGGTAGCTTTTGATAATTATTGTAAAAGGAAATCAGAATTTCCAAATTTATGGCCACAGACACTACAATGTCACAGTGCAGAGAAAAGTTCAAAATTTTCGTTTGCAAATCACAATAACGATCAATGGAACGCATGCTAAGCATCTGATGCTAAACAAGAAATGGCTGAAAATTGGTCATATCGTAACCGTAACATAATAGGTCTATTCCAACACAGCAGGGAACCGTACAATTTATCGTCATGATTCTGCGCAAACTGTAAAATTTGCGCGTAGAAACCGAAATTCGTTCACTGAGTGGTTTCGAAATCGTTCATGGGACGGTTTTTGACGTGTTGGAACCACTGATCTCAAAAATAAATGGATAAACAAAGAAAGCTTCTAATGCTGCTAATTTACGAGGTCATAATCTAAACAAAAACAACTGACTGGGACAGCTGTGAGCGTGCGCAGTAGATACATGTGCTGTGCCTGCACAACATCTGGCCAATGAAAATGAAGGACTTTCAAAATTTAGAACAGTTGTTCGAATAATAAGACACTGCGCAGGCGTTAGGATGTTCCGTTGCACAACTGTTCGTAGAATATTGACCCCAAATTTTCGCACAAATTTTGCCAATCATGATTGTTTATCCATTTATTTTAGATCAGTGGCTGGAACAGACCTAATGTCAGATCTCAACTTGTCTGGAAATGTACTTTGTGGCCAAATAAATATGTATTTAGTTATAGAGTCCAATAATTTTACTCACCAACTGCAAATGTATTCGAAAACAATGAAAATATCCGGGTATAACAAATAATGTATTTAAGTAAAAACGCATGTACGCGGGTATTTTGAAAATTACTCCAGTACAATAAAAAGTACCGGGTACCTATTTTCTATATTCCTAAGCAGTCCAAGTACGAGTACAAGTACGCGATTCAGAAAGTATCTTGGCCTGAGTACCGAGTAACTAGAAATATAGTTAGAGTACAAGTGAAGAGTACTCGTACCGTACCCGAGTACCACACAGCTCTGAAGCCCATCAGGATATCGTCAAAGGCGAATTTTTTTTCGGGTGCCTCGCCCAAAAACGTTTATTTTTCTTCAATAAATATAATTTATTCAGTTCAAGGGGGGGGGGGGGGTTCGAACCCCCAAAACCCCCCTCTTATATACGTCCTTGCGCAGCTCTAAAATCTTGTCTCATAGTGGCATAGAAATTAGAGATCCAAGAGCTGTTGAAACTCTACGAACCTTCGAGATATATAGTAGATTAGCTCCAATATGGGATCATTTCCTTAAACCTACCAACAGGTCAATCCGCTAATGAGACAAAGTGATTATCAACCAGAAACTTTGCACACTAATTGCAGCAAATCAATTGCATAGCTTTACCTAACACCATTATACCTATAAGTACTTTCAAATTTTATTATAAAAATCACAATTATCTAGAATTTTGCATTTATTCAATTCAAGTCAACCATGGATGCTCTAGCCATGCTCCGTTCATTCTTCCTGACAATGACGTTATTTTCAGCGTGTTTTTCTCACAGTATTTTCGAAAGTTTTTCGGACGTTGTAAACGAACTAGACGCCTTACAGATGTACATACCCACTTTGAATTCGCAAAATGAAAAATGTAAAAATCACAGTTTGTATTATTTGGACGCTTTGAAAAATTTGAAAATATGGGCTAGCGAGAGTAAGTATATGATATTAATTTTTGTAAAATGAATTATGTATTAAAAATCTTCAATATTGAACAGGAAGCTACCATTGTTCTTATAGTTTTTCATTTAAATTAATTTTTTCATAATTTTTTGTCTTTATAAAAATACTTGGGATGCTTCAATGAATATCCAAAATGATGGCAGGATAAAGGAAGGGTCAATATTTCAAGGGATATTTTTTCCTTGTTTTTGTTACCTTTATTACTGGTTAATATTACAGGATTGGACAAAATTATAAATGTTTTCGTTTTAAATTTGTATTCTGTGACTTTCATGGACCCCTAAACTATAGAAAGATGCAAGCGAGAGAAGAAACTTTCATTTATTTTCTGTTCTTCCCATAGAATACCTATATTGTATTTTGAAACCATGATCTCTAAGATCAGTATCAAATAGAAAAATGAGCTCCATGAAGTTCCATAATGATTTAATTTTTCATATGAAACACTTGAAGTAATCGAATTTACTATAAATTTCCTTTTGGTATAGGTATAGTTGAGTTTCTCCTTCATCAAGTATGTATGTATCAATCCTTTTAGTGTTTGATGCAACAGGAAAAATACCAAGTGGTATATTATCCGGTGCCTTACACGATTTGGGAAACTTTGACGAATGTGTCGAAATAAAAGTGCCATACCACAGAGACAAATTTCACGGACAATATTGCATGGCCCAATTTACCATAGTCCCTCCAAAAGATGTTCTCATAGTTCACGCAAGTAATTATTATGAAAATAATGCTTACGAGACGTATTATAATGACAGTATGTGGGAAAAATTAATAGTAAGTATAATTATAATAGGTAATCAATAATTTATAAACATTATTATATTTACATAATAATCCTACAAATGTAATAAAATGAAAATGATGGAATTGGTTCGCATCATTTCCCATAAAAAAATATCTTACATAGGTATATCCTATTCACAATCAATCAAGGTACAGGTAAATTTATCACCTTTCTTTATCAAATAGCATTGAAAGGTGATAAATTTTACCTCTACCTTTGAACATCGGATTGTGAATAGATAATACTTGAAGCCCTTTTACTTAGTACAAAAAAAACTAACAGAAAGTAGAATACCTACTTACCTAATAATGTAATTAAGTACATAATTTTTCATCGTAATTGTATACTTACCTACCTACCTAAATACGAGATTTTAAAAAAAAAATGCAAATTGCTAAAAATGATAATTACCTATTTCCTCAAAAAATTCTTTCACGTGCCAATCAATTGAATAAGCTCATATTTATTCATAAAAAAGTTATTGAAATTCGTAGGTAGATATGTATTTTTTTTTATCACATAGGTATACATCATACATAATCATAATAGGTAATTATTATTATAAATTATTAACAGTATTTGAATATACTTATCTGTTCGAGTTTTAGGCATGTGAGTTGTAAATTTAATAAGTTAGATATACTGTGATAAACATAGTTAGGTAGTATAGAAGAGTGTTGTGCACCAAAATTCAAAAGTACCTTTTTTGGAAAGGCTGGGAGACACCTGGAAAATCGATCTTCTCTTATTACCCATCACAGCAATATCTCATTGATCTGTGTTGTCAATGTTTTCCAAATTTTTAGAGGAGATCTTATTTAATTTATGCCAATAGTTAAACGAAATATGATGGAAGCCTTATACGACGTTGATAAAGCTTACAATAATCTTCCAGGGGAAAAAATCCGACTGCTACTGAATCTGTAGAGTCACAATAGTCTACACCATTCAATGTAGAATAATCACTTTTTTCTTCTGAAGCATAAAAATGTAAGGTCTTAATCCTAAGAGTTGATCGGAAAACTGGAAAAGTTGAGTCCTCTGTAGATTGTAGATTGTGATGGTTGAAGTGTTTAGGTTATGAGTACCTATTTGCTGAACTTGTAGTAGGTAGGTAGCGTTTAAATTCAAGTATAGCTTTCCTGAGAAGACTTTACCAGATTCTCATGAAAAGACAAGAGGTTTACAGATCTACTTAATTGACTCATCCTTTATTATATAAATTAACATATATTTACATTATTTAGATAAATCATCGCACCTATCAAATATAATAATTTATTGGTGGTTGTTAACGGGTGCTATTAAAAATTATACAACTAAGCATAACAAATGATTTTTTTTCCAAGACAATTAGGGAAATATAAAAAAATAATTAAACCAAGATTGTGGCAGCTATAGCTAATTAGAAATGGGTATCATAATTACGAAGGACGGGTAAATTAGATAAAATAATCGAGAAAATTGAAATTGTACGATCCATTACACTCATTAATCGAGATCATTATGCAATACTATAGGGAAATTAAAATAATAATTATGTTTCTTATATTGCTTTATGATGTGAAAATATAACAAACGGATTTTAATTATATAGTAGTAGTAGGTATAACTTAATACTACTGAACTTGTTAAGCTGAACTTCTAAAACACTCATTTCCGTTAAATTTGACAATAGTTTCTGATTCTAAAAGATTGTATCATTTGAAAAAGAATCATTCTCTCTATGTATGGTCCTTCGAGCCGGATAAAAAAAATCAAATTTGTACCTCTAAAAATGACCCAAAATCACTGGAAATCAATCAGTACAAAATCTTTTAGGTTTACTCAGCGGATAAAACTAAAGGATCACGTAATGAATTGTACTGCGCATTCTGCCTACCGTCTTCTTGTACTCATCAAGATCTTAAGGCGGCTTTGGAAAGTAATATTCGAATACGAAACAACAAAAGCGATTTCCAGTTATTGGTCGACGTCAACGAAAAAAGTTGCCAAGTAAACGAACCAGTAACTTTTAGTACAGGAGATGTAATTTTCATGTAAATGTTCAATGTTTTGTACCATGCCAAGGGATAACTGATTGTTTTTAGCATTTTCCTGGTGACAACTATTATGATGGTTGTATGTTCGAGTATTTATGGGATTTTAATAGGAAAAGATCCATATAAATATATGCAGATAAAAGGTATAAGTACATAGTATTTTTCAGACTTTATTCATTCATGAAAAGCTGGAGACTTGAAAGATTTGCTTGGAAATTTAATTCAGCTTTCGACCTGAATGAATTTGAAACCTGCAAATTAAGGGTTTCCCTGGAAAAGGGTGTTTTTAAAAAGCCCTTTAATAAAAATTAATATTTATCAAGAGAATACAATGTAAATTGGAACTTACTCTAACAACTGAAAGCTTTATTCCTTCTGATGTAACAATATGTCTAAGAAAGGCAACTTCCTTGGAGGCCTTTCAAAACGTTATCCCTCTGGAACGTAGCTGGAGCGTTTTTTAGACCAAATGGCATACTCATAATGGCCATTTTCGACATTGAAAGCAGTTCTGCATATATATTTTGATTTGGTGAAAACCACTAGCCAGATCCAAGGTCGTGAAGTACTGGCATCTACCAAGTTTGTCCAAGATGTCTGTTATGTTTGGAATTGGGTATTTATCGTCGATATTTTTCTCGTTTACTTTCCTATAGTCCACTACTATCCGCCATTTTATTTTCCGGGGGCGTCTGTTTTTTTTGGAATTATCCATATCGGGGAAGACCAATCCAATGAATCAACATGGAAGATATCTGGTTTTTCACTTCCTCTTCATGGATATATGGATATCCAAATGACTAAGTGTACACTGGAATCTAATCTTTTGTTTTAATATGGTATTTGATCTGGTTTGTAAAGGTCAGGGATATGTCTGGATAATGGAAAATGTCTGCATACTTCCTACATGAATTTTGTATTGCCTTTTCTCCCTCTGATTTAGGTGATTAGTTCTGATTTAATCTTGCCATGCGCTAACAGAGATTTCTGTAGATATGAAGCTGATCAAGTTTCAACTGCGTGCTAATGACTGAACTTGTCAGAGCTGCATACATACATACACCTCAAATCATCGATAATATTTTTCAAGTCTCTAGCTATTCGAAAGTTGAGTTTTCTATTAACTTTTCAAAGTAAAATTCTCTCATTTTCAAGGCAAGTTCCATGATATTATAATGTGCTTCTCATTTCCGATCAACTTCAAAAAGTTTACATCTGAAAGTCGTAACACGGACGGACTAGATTGTATTGCCGGCATGAGAGTTTATTCTATGGTTTTGATTATAGTTTTACACAGAATTATGTTTGAATTTGGATCACCGATGGTTAATCCAAAATATGTTGAAAAGGTACTTTTTTAAAGTGCATCAAGTTCCATTTATATGATTTCTTTGTAGTTGTACACAAAATTTGAAACCACATTACTTCTTAACGGTCCTATTTTGGTGGAATCATTCTTTACGATATCCGGATTTTTAGCAACTTACCTTATCATAGGACAACTGAAAAGCAGCAAAAGAGGCATTAATTTAGGAGTTTTCTATTTTCATAGAATCATCAGGTAACATATAATTTGTTATTCTTTGAAATATATAATTATTTATTTTAGGATGTCGCCCACCTACGCAATAATTTTAGCTTTCTATTGCACACTTTTTGTAAAACTAGGTGAAGGGCCCTTTTGGTTACAGAGAGTTGGACTCGAACAAGAAAGGTGCTTGGCTAGTTGGTGGGCGAATTTACTTTACATTAATAATTACGTTAATACTGATAAAATCGTAAGTAATAAATATCTATCATTCTTTTATTGTATGTGTCTATGTTGGTCCGTCTTAAAAATAAGCTGATATATAGAACCTGGGGCTTCAACTCATAAAAAGTGAATATATATTTCAAAACTTTGATAAAACAATGTTGGACTTAATAAAGTTATTGTAGATAATAGAAGTAACTTAAAGTAGGTTCAAGCTACTAAATCATATGGCAGAAAGCTTAATTCTCAAATTTCAGTGTATGTTCCAATCTTGGTATGTAGCCTGCGACATGAACTTTTTCCTGTTCACACCAGTTTTGGCCTGGACCCTATGGAAAAAGCCGAAATTGGGCGTCGCCCTTGTAATCGCCCTCATAATTGCTTCAATTATAGTCGTTTTTGTTATTGTTTATATCAACAATCTAGACGCAATGTTTATGTTGTATATAAGGTGAGTACATTGGGGTCTTGAGAGTTTTCGTAGCTCTAACATCTTTTTTATAGGGTATTGAAAGATCCAGTGTCGCACAACTCGTTTACAAGCATGTATATTCCTGGACATATGAGAGCTAGTTCCTACTTCGTTGGTATATTAACAGGACATATTAAACATCGAATGAATGAAAAAGAAGTGAAAATTCCACAACATATTGTCAAAACTGGTATATTATATCCATCAAATAAAGAAGTAGAACATAAAAATATAAGAAATTATTGTTTCAGGTTGGATACTTTGTGCTCCTATAATGCTTGCATCATTATATACCGGCTTCCTATTTTACCTCTTTGAAGTGCCATCATTGTTCACAGCCATTTATGCTTCGCTTTATCATTTTGCTTGGAGCATATGCATTGCTTGGATGTTGATTGCAATTTCTTCAGGATATGGTTGTAGGTTGACATTAGGTTTCATTTAAAGCTTCAAACAAATTTGTATATTTTTACAGCTTGGATTGACCAAATACTACGTTGGAAACCGCTAGTTGTTTTGGCAAGATTGACTTATTGCGTTTATATTTCTCATGGAGCTATTCAACTTTATACAGCAGCTTCTATAAGGACTCCGATACATGCAAGTGTATTTAACGTTGTAAGTATTAATTATATGATACATATACTTTTGATGTCCTTTTCATTTTTTAGTTATACCAAACAGGAGCTGATATTCTTTTAGCATACATTCTAGCCTTTATTTTAACCATGTTATATGAATCGCCTATAATAGCTTTGGAAAAGGTTTTGAGAGGTGGGTATACCTTTACTCAAAACTTTATATACATATTTAAGTATACTAATTTTACCTTCTTCCAATATTTTAGGATCAAAACCCTCTGAGATTAAGAAACAATCAAAAAATGAAAATGGGTCGGCAGCAACAACAGAAATAGCATCAAATTCTAATATCTAAAATTTGATGTTAAAAAAGATACTTTGTTTTTTTTTAATCCATAATCATTGCAATATACGGTTATTATAAACCTATTAAAGTCTCAAATTATTCCTCTATGTACCATCGTCACCAAAAGTAACTGCCACAGCATCACATTAGCTTGATGACGATAGTACCTACTTACAATTTTTCCTTACTTTCACTAAATTATGTGGAGTCACACGTATCAAAGGATGACGAACTCGTGTCGGCCATAAATAATGTTTTCTTTTATATAAATCTGTCACTTGGCCTCAATTTGATTACTTCAGCCTTGCTTTTAATATTCCTGCGTTGCCTAATTTCTGGGTTCATTTTCATCAGGTTCAGGAATCTCGCGATTTCATAAGTCTGGCAAATCTTTAATTATTTATTATTCTAATTTTGAAACTTTCTTTTTGCATTTTAATTCCCTGCAAATCAATGCGTCATGTTTCTGGATCGATACAACAAATGTCTTCAATAAGTAAAATAATTTATCTATACTTACAATTTAAACAACTTCTCTATTACCCTAACCCTAAACAAAAGAAATCAAGCAAATCCATAATTCAATACAATCAAGATAATGCTATTCAAACACACCATTAGAATTATTAATTGTTTTTTTTTTTACTTTACAAGTATTTTTATTTGAAGCTATTTGAACACGACTAAATCATTATCTGATTTATGCTCGAATGTTTGTGTTCACAACTGCTAATCAGTATTAGAGGTATTTAACAGTAATAATGGTAAAATCTTTTAAACTGAAAACCATAAAATCAGCTCTAGTATGTAAGTGGGTGCAGTTTTGCTGGAACACTAGCTTACATGGCTGGAAGTATTTCGTATTACCAAAAATATCAAGATTAGAAAGGTAAAAACTTTTCAAGTCTAAAAAAAAACTAATAAATCTTTAGAGCATGAATTCAAAATCAAATTCCTGAAGATCGTGTGATGTTGTTCCAGATGTGCCTGGTATATAATCTGCATCGCCACCCTCTCTATTTCAATTTATCTACTTGCATCTGCTTGGTCGAAATTTCAAATCAACCCAACAATTATAGTAACAGAATCGACACAGCATCCCATCTACAATTATGAGTTTCCTGCTGTATCAGTTTGCAGTTTGAATAAGATTTCGAAAACTGCCGCATTTGCAATGGCTAGGAAACTGTAAAGTTATTTCCTGATTATTATTTTGGCAATATTAATAATAATTTGTTGTAGAGAACAGAATTCTTCAAATGTAGAATGGCTGGCTAATAATTTTAGATTATTTTTGTATTTGCTTAGTTATGACAATCATGATCCACCTGTTAGTGAGTCTTTGAAACTTCTAGAAGTTTTAAAAAGGAATGGCCTATCTGAAGAAGAAGTATTTCAATGGAATGCTAGCCAGCATTCAAGCTCTAATAATTTCTATTGCAGGTGTTTCATAATATATCCCCACCTTGCAGTAAAATGCTCAAGAAATGTTCCTGGAAAGGTGAGGATCACAATTGTAATATTTTATTCGAAGAAGTTAAAACTGTAGTCGGTTACTGTTGTTCCTTCAATTATTTCGCTTTGAAAAATGGTACCAAAGCTAGGTAAGTATTTTGGTTTAGAGTACCTACATAGGATTGAATTCATACTAACATGGAAAGGTTGAGGGGGAATAGTCAGAAACAGGAAAATACCAGCGACCTACGAATAGAGAACCATACGAAAATATGCAAAACTGTATTATTATTCAAAAACTGTACATAGGAAACTGTATGATTATTCAAAAACTGTACATAAAATTGAATTCATAGGTACTAACATAGAAAGGTTGAGGGGGTAGTCAGAAACAGGAAAATACCAGTGGCGTATACTCGATCGACCTACGAATAGAGAACCATACGAAAATATACAAAACTGTATGATTATTAAAAACTGTACATAGGAAACTGTATGATTATTCAAGAACTGTAGGTAGGTACATTTCAAATGTACAGGAATATACAGTCTTTTAAGATAAGTCAGTGTTGTCGCAGACGTAACACAGCTGTTCTGGTTGATAACTCGAACACAAAACCGGCAAAAACATTAGAAAATCAAACTATGTACAAAACAACTTGTATTCGTAACGATTTCGACAAAGTTTCGGTGATAATTCACACAAAAAGTACAGAAAACCGGTGATAATTCACGCAGTACCTAACGCGTCACAATTCGGTTGTTTCTCAGTGATGACTCCCGTACCAAACGAGCGCGAAAAACACTATGGCTTTCGTCGAACAACAACACGAAAATCGCGATCGGCCCACAATAATCACTCTACCAGTCTTGAAACTCACCGTGGCCCTACGTTGGGCGCCAATTTGTAAGATATTTCTTAGGGAAGTTGAGTACACGGGAAGAATTAAACGAGAACCGATAGAGAAAACTGATTACTGTATTAACAGAGAAAACAGAATGAAATTCGCGTTATTGCACTATTAACGTTGACACCTCATTGTTAACAGGCCGTATATCAGGTTGACATCATACAGGGGACCAGCCGATCAGTGGCGAGGGGATTAAGGAATTTTGTTACATTCTGATATTCTACAGACTACAAACTCACAAAGCCTCTTGGTATAGGTCTCAAATTTTCCAAAACACTTCTAGGTGGTTTCATATATAACTCATCTTTCTAATGTCCAGACTCTACTCCCTCTCCTTCCATTCTATCTATATGTATATTTGGAAATGTTTGATTTTACAAGGCAGGCAGTTTATTTTAGCTCTGCACAGTCCCATAGAAGGGCTAAACAGCCTAGAAGAACATCTTCGTGCGGATTTCAAACTGGCTTAGAATTACTAATAGATAACAATCCAGATAATTACTTTGCCACTATTGTTCCCTCCATTGGATTTAATGTAAGAAAATTTTATACAGAGAGAAAGAAAAAATCTAATTTCCCTTGTCTTATAGGTTCTGATACACAATCCATACGATTATCCTAACGAAGCAGTTAACAACATTTTGTGCGAGATGAACACCAATAATTTTATAGGCATTAATCCAGAAATTATAAGTGCCACCAAAAATATCCGGTCCAGATCGATTGCAGTGAGAAAATGCCTGTTTGCCAACGAAAAGAAACTGGCCTTCTTCTCAAAGTATACCTTTCATAATTGTTTGGCCGAATGTAAAATCGAGCTTATAGAGTCAGTGTGTAATTGTACACCTTTTTATATTTATGATAATACAAGTGAGTTATTGGTGTGATAATATAGGTACCAACTATTTTTACCAATAATTTATTTTTCAGGAAATACTAAATTATGTTCTTTTGAGGATTTCAAATGTATTTTGCATAATGCCCGTAAGTATAAAGACCTTTATTTAAACGTAAAATTAAAATATTAAACTTTTAGTTTATTGGACATTAGAAAGTGAGAAATGTGATTGTTTGCCAACTTGTGACAGTACAAGTTACGTACCTGAATCATCAAAAGGGATATTGGATTCTTCATATTTAACTAACATGTTTAATATAGTGTAAGTTTTATTTTTTGTTGATAATTTGTATTGTTGTTTTTATTTACAGTTCTGGAATGGAAACTGAAAACCATACACTGATTCGGGTGTTTTTCAATGATTTATTAGGAACGAAACATCGCAGAGATGTTTTGTTCACTTGGCACATGCTTATGGGTAATAGTTTGTTACATTTATTAGAAGTTTTCAAAAATATGAAACATTACTACTAAATTAATCTCAAACAAAACGAAAAATCATGCCTAAGTTGTTTTGTTTCGTTTTTAGGTTCTTATGGTGGAATACTGGGCTTGTTTACCGGATTCAGTTTTATGCTGGTCGTTGAAATAATCTACCATTTTCTAGTACGTCGATTAAAGGATGATAAAAAAGAAAATAGATAAATGCACATAAAAATTTCAACATGAATTCCTATTCAATGTTCAAGTACATTTGGAGATTTGTTCACTTATAAAATTCATTTTACCTACTAGAGAGCTTTTCATTGTACCATTTATGACATTTATTATTAATAATATTCAAGCCTCTATACTTAATTACACCAAAAATATAAATTACTAATAATATTCAACCCTTTAAATGTATATAATCGTTAAATCAAGACACGAACGACACCTCTTGCAATTAAATATTCATTTGAATGACAGCATATAAAATAAAACACCCATCATCAACATACTATTCCCAAGTCCAAAGATGTATAATCCAGAAAACGAAAAGCTAATATCCTGGATTAAAAAAATTATGATTTGTGCAGGTTTTTGGAACTTACCTCTAACCCAAAATCAAATTCTGGCAAAAATGTATTTCGTTTATTCAATTCTAATGCGAATTGGCTGTTTCGCATTTTGGATAGGTTTGGTTTGCGAATTGGCTCGTTTAATAGCTTTTGATTACGAACTACAACTGATTCTTACGAGTCTCAGTGTAGTCGTTACCGTTTCGAAAATATTTTGCAAATTGATTGTCTATTGGAAACATGATATTTTGGTTCTGTTCGAGGATGTTATTCGGAAAGAAGCTGAAGTTTGGGCTTCGGGAAATGAGGAAATTCAAAAAATGTATCGCAGGAAAATTGCTGTTTTTAAGGTTTATATTGGTACTTTGCTAGGCACTACTTTGATGGCAGTATCGTTTCTAGAAATACCTGGTAAGTATGTTTTCTGTTATAAAAATCCTAAGTCTTGAAAATTATTCAATTGTTTGCGTCTTTTCATTTTAGGTGGAATGGCCATAATCCAAATGAGAAACCACAACCAACTCAACAATGAAACTCTAGAACCCCATTTTATGTATCAGACATTTATTCCAACAAATAAACTTGATAACATCGAAATTTTTTTTGCCACCCAACTTATGTGGGCTTGGATAGGGCTTACCTATAATTGCATGACTCAGTTGGTTTTCATAGCTTTGCTAATGTTTGCAGCTTCGCAACTGCAAATTTTGCAAATTCGTCTGAGGACTTATATTGAAGACGATTTTCCTAGCGATGCTGGTAAAGATGAGAACGATGGGAAAATTACGATTTTGAAAAGTTTGATTCACGAACACAAATACATTATACGGTAAGAATCATATACCTATTAGAAATCTGGAGTAATATTATTTTACTTATCTATATTCTCTATTCTTCTTTTCTATGACAAAAACACGATTTAAAGAAAACTACTTTATAGACTTTAGGTAGATAGTCAAGTTGCGATTTTCTAAAATTGAGGATCAATTTTTGAGGATTTTACTAAACATATACTGAAAATTCAACTTGATAATTGATAAGTGAAGTGAGTACATTATTTCTTAAATTAGGTAAGTAAAAATCAACAGTGACAAGCCTCTACGCTTAAGTTTGCAATTTGAAAACTACTAAGAGCCCAAATATGCGATTTCGAACTTTCGAAAATCAATTTTTGAAGGTTTGATAGAAAATATACAAGAAATTCCAGGCGATCATTGATCAGCAAATAGTAAATTTGTGAATCTTTTAAATTGAGTAGAAATTAACATTGACTTAACAACCTTCTATGCTAAAGCTTGCAATTTGGAAACTACTGAACGCCCAAATATGCGATTTAGAAGATCAATTTTCTTGAGGGTTTGATATAAAGTATATCTGTACAATCGTTCCTTTCATGGGAGAAGTCTTGTAACTTGAAAAGGTAGCAGAGAATGACTAACTCTGAGCACCTAAATTCTTCTTTGTTGTCGAATACTTGATAGGGTGCGTAAGCAGTTGACTGTGGGTGTAATTGAGTATACCTACAAAACGACTGATGGTTTAATGCCATTTCTTCGACAGTTGATTTCGATGGATGCTCCTTTTATCTGCATTTGTCCAGAAATCTTTTACAATAGCATATCACCCGGATCATTGATTCTTGGTGACGAGAATTTCTGAATGATTTCATTGCTACCCTTTGTTTGAGTCGTAATGATGGCTGTGTAGCTAATTTTTTCTTCTTCAGTCGTGCAAGGTTTTCCTGGTACGCTTTGTAATATTAACCATGATGATCCATGCCACCAGAGAGCGTATTTCTTTAGTTTTGATGGCTCTAGTCCTCTGGACATTACATCAGCAGGATTGTCTTCTGATTTTACATGATGCCAGAATTCACTGGATACAAGTTTGTTTATTTCAGAGACTCTATTGGCAACAAATTTTTTTCCATCCTAATGGCTCTCCTTTTATCCATACCAATGTTATCATCGAGTCTGAGTAGGCATAGACTGAAACTTTCTCTAGCGATAAACCTAAAGTTCTTTTGATTAATTTCGACAACAGAACTGCAGCACAAAGTTCAAGTCGTGGTAGAGTTGCCTTCATATCCGTGCTGGAGTAACTTTGGATTTAGCAGTTAAGAGAGTGACTTTGGCTTTCATCTTGTGGATTTGTAAGTTTCATGTAGATGACTGCACCGTATCCAACTATCTCAATGTTGCTTTGCTTGGATTGATGTTATCTCTGAATTGATGTGTCTGCAGTATGCTTCATAATTGGACCACCCTGCAAGTTAGGAAATGTCATGTCGTGTGGTTTTTAAAATAAACCCTTGCGGGTTTATAGTCTTTGTAGTCTGTTTTCTGGCCTTAAAATAAAGTCCTGTAATAGTATATTACAATCCGAGATGGGAAATGCTTCATTGCTGATCGAGAGGTTATATAATTTATCGAGACGCGTAGCGTCGAGATAAACTGAACCCCGAGACAGCAATGAAGTTTCCGTCGTGGTTTGTATAGGTACTATTTTATTTTTAACCATAATTTCTTGAAAAAAATAAAATAAATTCGTGACAACCAAATAAATGAGGACGGGGAATGAGGATGGGAAATATTTCCCTGCTCCTTGTTTCAATAATCAGAAATTTGAATTACCTTTATTAGTCATAAAAACTGAGAAAAATTTCACACCACCGCTAGGACGTGATTGGTTAGATATAATGAGTCCAATGTGGAGAAATAATATTTTTATTAATACTGTGTCAAACTTTTCTGAACGTGAAAATACTGAAAAAAAGCCAAGCATTTTCTCATTTTGCACCAAAGTTTCCATCAGTATTTTCAAGTTCTACTAAGGAACCCATAAAGGTGTTTGAGGTTAAATTGAAACTCAAAGAAAATTCTACTCCTATTTTCCGGTAACCTTACAATGTTCCATTTGCTTAACAAGATAAATTAAAACTTGAGCTTGATGAGATCGTTGATGATGGTAGTTTGGTTCCGGTAAGTACCAGTGATTGCGCGAGTCCTATTGTAATTGGATGGGGATATCAGCGTTTGCGTGGATTTTAAGGTGACCTTAAACCAAGTGTTGCGTCAGGATATTTATCCTCTCCCAAATATAAATGACCTTTTAGCAAAATTGAATGGGGGCTCTGTATTTTGTATCCTCGTATTTTGTGCCTATCAACAATTGTCTATGATACCTCTTCTCATTAACTTTTGACCATTAACACGAATTTTGAGTTGTATAGATATACTCGGCTAACTTATTATGGGATTACCAGTGCCCCAGCAATTTTTCACATGACTATGGATAAAATTTTAAGTAGTTTGAATGGTGTGATTTGTTACTTGGTCATAGGTAAAAATTTTGCTGACTTTTACAAAAATGTGTGTCAGGTGCTTTCTCGAATGGCAGAGTACCTACAATGTGAAAGTGAACAAATCAAAATGTAGATTTTTTTCTGATTCTGTAGAGTAATTAGGGCATAGGATTGATGCCGAAGGCATACATCCAACATCTGAAAATGTTCAAGCAATTTTGAATGCTCCTGAGCCAAAAAACTTAACTGAGCTGAGAGCATTTTTGGGTTTATTAAATTTTTATAATAAATTTCTTCCTAAGTTTTCATCGGTCTTGAAACCCTTATACCATTTATTAGAGAAGGGGGTGGAATTTAAATGGGATAAAGCTTGTACGTAGGCGTTTTCTGCAGGAAAAAAATTAGTAATAGATAATCAAATGCTTGTTCATTATGATCCGGTGAAACCACTCACTGTGACTCCAGTTCTTATGGAGTTGGGGCGGAACTGTGTCATACCATAAATAGTTTTGATAGACCCATATGGTTTATTTCTGGTACTCTCTCTAAGACAGAAAGAAATTACTCTCAGCTAGAGAGAAAAGCATTGGCAATTGTTTTTGCTGTAAAACGCTTTCATAGATTCTTGTATGTGCGTGCATTCACTCTAGTTTCAGATCATCAGCCACTAAAAATGATATTTAACCCATCGAAGTCGTTGCCTACCTACTATTGCAACATCAAGAATATAACCCGTTAGGCTGTATTCTTGTCACCTTATAATTTTAACATTGTGTATAAAAAGGGTTCTCTATAATTAGTCATGCTGATGATTTGTCAAGACTGCCCTTACCTGCTGAGACTGACGTGTTGCATATAAATTCCTTTAATCTTTTGGATATTGTACCAATGACCTCTTATGATATTTCTTTTCGTACAGAAAGCAGGGTTGGCATAGAATTTCCCCAGGTTATAAAACCCAGTGGGGTTTTTTGGGTTTTTTCCAAAAAACCCACCATTATTGGGTTTTTTGGGTTTTTTTAAAAATAGCAAACTTTCAGTTGAATGAGCGTCATTTTCACAGGAAATATCAGGGATTCCCCGATGATTCCCTAGTCCCTGGCTGTTCGCTGTTGGCGTGGAGGTCTGGGCAGGGACTCAGTACCATGTAAACTTAAGAATTCAACATATAGAATGTGCCGGAGTTTATAGAATCCTGTTGATATGTCTCTGGGTTGGCCAACCAGACGCGTGGTGCAGTGCACTAATGCCAAGTGTAATTATTTATATCAAGTGGCTTGCTTAATTTTGTAAGGATATTATTTTCTCGGATATTTTATTTTTGCAACAAAAGTCATAATTTTTGTATTACTTTTGCTAGAGTAGAAACTATAAATCAAATTTGAAGAAAGAAACGGAAAAGCCGAAAAAACCCAAAAAAAAACCCAGAAAACCCATAAAAACCCAAAAAAACCCGACGAGTTGGACTTTTTCAAAAAAACCCGGGTTTTTTCCAACCCTGGCAGAAAGGGATGTGGTCTTAATCTAAAGTTAAGGATCTTATTGTGCGTAGTTGGCCACAATCGATATCTAATTTGGATTTAAAGCCCTTCTTTCATAAAAAAGATGAACATTCAGTGGAGAGAGGATGTTTATTGTGGGGGGGTAGCCGTGTATTTATTCCAATAACCTTGAGATCCAAAGTATTGAATCTTCTTCACGAAAGTCATATTGGTGTTGTAAGATCCAAAATGCTGGCTCGTTCTGTGTTCTGGTGGCCAGGTTTATCAGATGATATTGAAAAATTTATTGGCAACTGTGGACGTGTGCCAGTTGACGCAGAATAATTTACCTGAAAAAAACTTATTATCTTGGCCAAAACCACCCAAAATTTGATTTAGAGTGCATATTGATTTTTTTTTGAAAAAAAAGCAAATAAAATTTTAATAATTCATGACAGCGCTACTCGAAATGGGTGGATATTCATTTAATGTCTTCTACAACAGCTTCGGTTACTATTGAGAAACTTTAAGATAACCTTTTCTATGATGGGCCTACCTAACCAAATAGTTAGTGACAACGGTCCACCATTTAACTCAGCTGAATTCATCAAATTTTGTCAAGCAAATGGAATCGACACAGTTTTAACCACTCCATCTAATGGCACCGCAGAAAAAGGGGTTCAAGATATTAAAGAAAATTCAGGTCGACAACTATGATGAATCCAAAGCCTCGTACACGTTTAAATCTTCTAAAACCTGATATTGGTTATAATACAACTAAAAATAAGTCTGATCCAGTTGTCGTAAGTAATTTTTTTTCTAATGGTGAAAAAGTGTTGTGAAGTTCAGAAAACCAGATCAATTTTGGGCATATGGCGTTATTGTAAAAGTGTTAAGTTCAGTGATTTATTTAATTAGAGTCAATGATGTCATAAGAATGTTCCTGTGGCTATATACGTAAATGTAAGGATTCTTTAGCATTAGAACATAAGTACCCTTCTGTTAGTCTGGAGTTAGAAACGTCATCTGAGCGGTCATCGACTAAATTATCTCAACCATCTACTTCATCTATTTCGGAAGCGGATGATGTTGCTTGTCATTCAGGGAAAAACCTTGATATAGACAATAGGTCTCCAGTAAGGAGAAGTCTTCCTCAAAGCCTACTCGAGTTTCAGCAAGATGTCTATCGCGATAATCCTTTTGATCCCGGAGTGACAAGTGTTGGTACGGATTTGACGTTTAGAACCCCAGTCAGTACGTAGATCAAATAGGGTTCCCAAACCCATAATTAAATTGGATCTATAGTCTTACTTTTTTTTTGAGAGGGGAAAAGTACGGTATGCTTCCTGCACCCAGTAAACATTTTAATGTTTTATTGTCAAAACATTAAGTAAATACATAGCAGTGTCCATCTGGAAATTGTTAATTGTTCGACATTTCTTAGTTCTGCTTGAAACTTCTTCTATTTGGTTTGTATATGTGTTTAGTTCCAGGATCGTCCCATTTTAATTCTCGTAACCATAATTCTTGGATAGAAGTTTTGCGTTTATTATCACTGGAGCTGAGTGGATCAAACAATTTAGCAGCCTCGGAAAGGTTATTTCGTTTCGTAATTTTGGTATTTTCTGTAACTTCAGTTTTAAAACGGAATGTAGGTATTCGTCATGTAGCGCCCAGTAGATTCCAAGAGATTTTCTTGTTTCATCTTCTGTGATTTCTACGGAATTTATATCTTTCAATTCCTCTGGCAGAGCTCGGAGCTGATTTCTGTTACTGAACCATTTTCGTAAAATGAACCTGTCAAAGCGAAACATTTTGATTAGTTCAGCTTGGAGTTCAAATGTTTCTTCAATAGTATTTGCACCGGAATGAAAGTCGTCTACATAGAAATCGTGTAGGGCTGCCTTAGTTGCCTTTGGAAAATTTGTAGCACCTCTGGCTAATTGTTGCAGTGTTTTGATCGCCCAATATGGAGCTGCGGTTGTACCATCTGTTGACTGTTACTGTTGTGAGACAGTATTCTTGTATTCAATATTTTTTGTCCAACCGCCACAGAATTTTTTGAAATTTCTCATCGTCTGTATGGACTTTGATTTGTCTATACATGTCAATATCAGCTGTGATAACTATTCTGTGTGATCTCCAATGTAAAAGAATATCGGAAAGCTCTTTGCTGTGTACATTGTTTCGTTCAGGCTGAACCAAGAAAAAGTCTGGCTGGATGCATCAGAGTACTGACTTACCTATATAGACTTTGCCTATATGTTTTACTGACCCACTGTTCGTAATGTCGATGACTTTAAAAATGCTTGGCTAGCTTGATTAATAGAAAATAATCAATATATTTATTAAAAGAAAATAAGTTTCAAATTTGTAATTAGACAATACCAGAAATTCCTAGAAATTTCAAGAGATTGATCAACAGAGGTAGTACAGTGATTTTTTTAACTTGAAGAAAAATTGACATCAAAGCCTCTACCTACACTTATAAGTTTTTAACTTAAAACTAATAAATATATATATGTACCTTTGAGGGTTGTATATAAAATTCATACTGTCTGTTGCCTGTTCTTTGATACAAATACTTAATTAAGTGTATTTATAAAAATTATTTTCAGATTTGTGACACACTATAACGACTGTACAAAATATCTTATAATGATGGAGTTTATTTTGTCTTCTTTGGATATGGCTTCAGTGTCAGTAAACATTATTAAAGTATATATAACTTGAATTTGTTTTACAAAATTTAATGAAATATATTTCAGATGCCTTTATCAGGAGTGATTTGGTTATTGTTCTTTTTCTTATTGCTGGCCTTTCAAATATTTCTCATTGGTTGGACTTGTAACGAAATCATGATACAGGTTTTGTCAATAATTATTATTGTTTTTTATTTAATTGAAATCCCATTTCCTATAGAGTGAAGGTGTAGCTGATGCTCTATTTGAAAGTAAATGGTATTTGTTAAACAAAGAAGCGAAACAGTTAACGCAAATCATGATTGCTAGGGCACGGAGACCCCTAACTATGACGATTGGACGTTTTGGGCCTATGACTACTAATTCTGCGTTATTGGTAAATAACTACTTATTAAATAAAAATAATATTTATTTTACATAAATCTGGCAGTAGGACAAAAACAATCTATTAGTTATCGTGGGAACAATATTTTAAGTTCACATAGGATCGTAAATAATTAATAAAGGCGAAAAAATCTTTCGAAAGTATATTTTGTGAACTGGAAAATAAATAATGTAGGTATATTTTGATAGATGTTTTCTATTATTTTCAGGTCATCAAGGCTGCTTATTCGTATGTTAGCATTATGAGGAACTAGAATATGGATATTGCAAAAACAACGTAAAGCATTAATATTTGGATAAGTTTAGTGAAATAGTAGCTATCTAGTTATTAATAGTGCATTAAACAGAAAATAATTGTTATATGTATTTCTTTATATTAAACTGTCTAAAGATTTATTTTCAAGACATTAAGATGTAGGGAGTTATTGTAGGTAACTATCTGAAGATGTTTACAGTTTATATAGTTTATAAGTAGGTATGTTAAATATAAAACATAACATGGCTATTGGTCAACCTCATTTCATTTTTTCCCAGAAATTATTTTCCCATAATTCAGTATGAATATGCATCCTAGAAATAGTCACAATCAAAATTGTTGAAATTGCCAAAAAATCCCCAAAAATTATTTGAAAATCCTAATAAATATAAAGTATCAATGGTGCCAATCTGGTTTATGTCCTTCCACTATGTAGCTAGGTATAGTAACTTGTCAATGAGCTACATAAAACACAAATTTTTGTTAATTCAAAAATAGCTTTATTTTACTTCTACATATGAGTAGATACAATATAAAAAAATAGGACTAATATCACATCATCACTAGGACCAACTTAATTGCTATACAACATATTGTTTATGTATTCAATATTATTATATCAACACACATTTTTTTTTCTCATTCCTCGCTTATTATTGTGTGTAAAACGAAAATCCATATAGCCAAAAAACTAGTCAAAACGAAATAAGGACCACTTTTGAAAACCCATTTATTTTTAATGAATTTTGAATAACCCTGGTAAAGTGTTTATTTCCATTCACAATATAAATTTTTTGTGCACACTTTATTTGTTTATCTATACTTATTGTAAATGAAAATAGTCACTTTACCAGGGTTATTCGAAATTTAATGAAAACCTGCTCTTAAAAGTGGTCCTTATTTCGTTTTGAGTAGTATATTTCAAGATTCAACTTCTCTCGTAAAAACAAATAGATAAACAAAAATACTGAACAAAACGTAAATCCTTAAATTAATAACTCTATAGCCTACAAATTGATGGCTATTGTCTATTGGTGGCCATCAAATCAATATCTTTGGGCAATACAGGACAATCTTCTGGCAAATTCAATTTCTTTCTAAGGTAATTGTTTTCCTCCCTACGATGTAACGCTGTTTTCAATAGAATATTGTATTTTGAGTGATAATCGCAGGTCGCCTGAAAAGATAATTATTAATATGAAAATCAATAATTGTTTCTACTTCAAAAAGCTTATACAAATACAGTGGTCGAATTTCCATACATTTTTGGAAGGCTCTTAGACACAACGATTCTTGAATATGCGCAACCTTCTAACAAAGAGAAATCGGGAACTAGACTAAGGGCAGTACGGAGAGAGACTTGAAAGTGCCAATACGCCCGTTTTCAGTAATTGCGCGTAATCATTCAGAAACCACCAGCCGTTTTTCAATTATTATACCAAAAGTAGGTTTTCAGTTTAATTAAATTGTTGTTAAGTTCAGACCAGCCTTTTTTTCTTATTCCTAAACCTAAAGTCCACTCATTCATCACATTTTAAATTAAGTTAAAGGCAGAATATCTAGTAAATTTTGAACAAAATCAAGTGAACCTACAATAATAATAGAATATTCAATTGGCAAAAACTTACTTGTGTTTCTTGGTCAACCCTCTTATGCATAGGTACACCTTCTAAGCGTTCCTTTAGTGTTTCTAAGCAAAAAAATAATAATATTTTAAGACTAATGTGTTTTACAATAATTGTGTAACTCACCAGTCAAAATTTCCTTTTCGTCTAGTGTAAATATTAACTTTAATCTTTCTTCTTTTAGAAAATCGACTTCTTTTAACATGTCTTCATTTTCTTTGTCCAAGTATTGATTGTCATCTTTTAGTTTATCAATTTCTCTTGACATTTCAGCACATTTTTTTCTAATACTGGCACAGTTAATACACTCTGAATCTAAAAAAAAAATGTAATTGTGCCAATGCAAAATCCTCATTAGTTACCTGAAGAATCATCATCCAATGTTGCAATGCCTCTTCTCTGCTCTAAAAGAGAGTGTCGTCTTATTTTTCTCAGTTCCTTTGGAGACACCTTGGCCTCAGTAGAATGTCTGAGAGGTTTTTCTGTTTCTGGTTTAAGTTTATTTTGCAATTGACGGACGGTCGATTTTTCTTTAGCCAAATCCTGTTCCTTGACGAACAAATCCTTATTGGCTTTAGCCATTTGCAATTCCAAAGAATTATATTTGTCTTTGAGTTCTTTTAGTTGGCGTTTCTTTTCGAATTTGGATTGGTTTAATTCGTGTACCATGTGTTGAAGTTTCCTTTTGTCTTCGTGTAATTTTGTGTTTTCGTAGATTTTTTCGTTTAATTCTTTTTTGATGTGTTTGATTTCGTCAAGTTGGTGGGTGGAATCGTTGCCGAAAATTTGATATGAGTTGATAGTGGTTTCATTTTGGGAAAACTTATTTATTTGTTCGCTTAATTTTTCAATTTCCACAGATTTGTTTAGTAAATTTTCTTTCAATTTTGATAATTGTTTTTTTAGATCGGCATTTTCGTATGTAATCTTCTCAAATTGGGCTAATTTATCTGTATACGTTGTTTTTAGTGCCTCCAACTCTTCAATTTGTTTAGTTTTATCTTTTTCTATGGATAAGGGAGTTGTATTCTTTGACTCAGTTTTTTCATAATGTTTCAATTGGTTCAGATGATATTTTTCTAATTCTTTTTGTAGCTTTTCAACCATTTCACTCTTTTCGAGAACAATTTTTTCAAATCTATCAGATTCCAATGAGGCAAGTTCAAATAGTTTAGTTTTTTCTTTTAGTCGATTTTTGTAATCTAATAGTTGGCTTTTTAATAATTTTATATCTTTAGTATTCACGTTTTGTTGCATATTTTCTATTTTCTTATGTAAAGTGTCAATTGTGTCTTCCTTTTTACCGAGATCTGTGAGTAAATTGTTGACTTTTTTAGTGTGTTGAGCTTTGAGATGTGCCATCAATTGAGATTTTTCCTCTATTTTTTCACTTTTAACTTTTAGCTCCTTGGAGAGATTTTCGAATTGTTCTTTCAATGTTTTCAGTTCCAGCTTGTAATTGTCAACTTCTTTGTTTATGCTTGGATCTTCAACTAATTTCATATCTTCTATTTTTGTTTGCAGAGTCTTAATTGTTTCTTCTTTTTTTAAAAGTTCAGTTTTAGTTTGTGATTTTAATTCAGACAAATTCTTTTCTAGTTTTGCAACATTTTCGGATTTTTCTTTCAATTGCTCATTGTTCTCATGGAGTTGGGAAGAAAGTTTCTGCATTTTCTTTATTGTTGAAGCTAACTCTTGTTGGCATGCCTTAATTTCACCGTTTTGTTCCATATCTTCTTTTTTTCTCAGTAAAGTCTTGATGGTTTCTTCTTTTTCCAGGAGTTCAGATTTACTTCGAGATTCTAATTGAGACAAATTCTTTTTAAGTTCTTCAACATCTTCGGATTTTTCTTTTAATTGCTTACAGTTTTCTTGGAGTTTGGAAGAAAGTGTCTCAAATTTCTCAGTTGCAGCGGCCAATTCTTGCTTGTATTCTTGATTCGGTGTCATATTCTCTAACTTGTTTTGTAAGGTCTTAATAGTTTCATCTTTTTCTACGAGTTGAATCTTATATTTAGATTCCAATTTCAACAGTTTTTTCTCTAGCTCTATAATTTCTTCAGATTTTCCCTCCAACTGCTTACAGTTTTCTTCAAATTTGGAAGAAAGTCTCTCAAATTTTTCAGTTGCTAAGGCTAATTCTTCCTTGTATTCTACATTCAGTGTCATATCTTTTAACTTGTTTTGTAAGGTCTTAATAGTTTCATCTTTCTCTGCAAGTTGAATCTTATATTTAGATTTCATTTTCAACAGTTTTTTCTCTAACTCTGTTATATCTTCAGATTTTTCCTTCAACTGCTTACAATTTTCTTTAAATTTGGCAGAAAGTGTCTCAAATTTCTCAGTTGCTGCGGCCAATTCCTGCTTATATTCCTCATTCGATGTCATATCTTCTAACTTGTTTTGTAAGGTCTTAATAGTTTCATCTTTCTCTACGAGTTGAATCTCCAGTTCCAACAGTTTTTTCTCTAATTCTGTAACATCTTCAGACGTTTCCTTCAAATGCTTACAGTTTTCTTCAAATTTGACAGAAAGTGTCTCAAATTTCTCAGTTGCTGCAGCCAATTTCTGCTTGTATTCTTCATTCGGTGTCATATTTTCTAACTTGTTCTGTAAAGTCTTAATAGTGTCATCTTTCTCTACAAGTTGAATCTTCAGTTCCAACAGTTTTTTCTCTAATTCTGTAACATCTTCAGATTTCTCCTTCAACTGCTCACAGTTTTCTTCAAATTTGGCAGAAAGTGTCTCAAATTTCTCAGTTGCTAAGGTCAATTTCTGCTTGTATTCTTCATTCGGTGTCATATCTTCTAACTTGTTTTGTAAAGTCTTAATAGTTTCATCTTTCTCTACAAGTTGAATCTTATATTTAGATTTCAATTCTAACAGTTTTTTCTCTAGTTCTGTAACATCTTCAGATTTTTCCTCCAACTGCTTACAATTTTCTTCAAATTTGGCAGAAAGTGTCTCAAATTTTTCAGTTGCTGCGACCAATTCTTGCTTGCATTCCTCATTCATATCTATTTTGTTTTGCAACATCTGAATGGTTTCTTCTTTTTCTAAGAGTTGAATCTTATTTTGTGATTCCAAATCTGACAGGTTCTTAAGTTCCAAAGAAAGTTTCTCAGATTTCTCAGTTGCTAGAACCAATTCCTGCTGGCACTTTTCAATTTCTTCATCCTGCTTCATATCTTCTATTCTTTTTATTAAGGTTTTGATAGTTTCTTCTTTACTCAGAAGGTCAGTTTTATTTTGAGCTTCCAAATCATTGAGTTTCTTTTCTTGTTTTTCGTGTTGCTTTATGTCTTCTATTTTCTTCTGCAAAGTCTCAATTGTTTCTTTCATCTCAAGTAGTGTAGTTTGATTTCGAGCCTCCACTTCAGACAGTTTTTTCTCTAGAATTGCAATATGCTCAGATTTTTCTTCCAATTGTTTGTGTTCCAAAGAAGCTGTCTCTAACTGCTTACTGGCTGTTTTCATTTCCATCTGATAATTTTCAATTTCTTTGTCTTGTTTCCTATTACACATAATGGTTTCTTGATTTTGAGCTTTCAATTCGGATACTGTCTTCTGCAGAGTTTCAATGGTTTCCTCCTTTTCACGAATACCTTCACATAGTTCTTTAAGCTTCATCAAATGTTCTTGATTTTGAGTTTCCAATTGTTTCTTTTCAGATACTAACTTTTCCAATACTATAACAGCTTCTCTTCTTTCATTGTGATCAACTTCATTCTGTATTTTCTGTTCAGATACATTTTTCTGCAGAGTTTCAATGGTTTCCTCCTTTTCACGAATACCCTCACATAATTCTTTAAGCTTCATCAAATGTTCTTGATTTTGAATTTCCAATTGTTTCTTTTCAGATACTAACTTTTCCAAAAGTATAGCAGTTTCTCTCCTTTCACTGTGATCAACTTCATTTTGTGTTTTTTGTTCAGACACTGTCTTCTGCAAAGTTTCAATAGTTTCATCTTTTTTGCAAATATTTTTGAATAATTCATCAAGTTTCACCAAACGTTCTTGATTTTGAGTTTCCAATTGTTCCTGTTCAAATACCAACTTTTCCAATGCCGCTATTCGTTGTGATTTCTGCTCCAATTCCTCCTCAAATTGCTCTTTAGTCAACTGTATTTGTTTTGCATCTTCAATCATATGTTGCAATAATTCATCTTTCTTTAGAAGCTCCTCAGACAATTTCTTGTACTGGTCGAAATACTTTTTTTCCATACTTTTGGAATTTTGACATTTTTCTTCCAATTCTTGACTGACTTTTTCTAATTCTTTCTGTTCCCCACTTAATGAAAACATGGCATCGTCCAACTCTGATTTTAATTGCTTGATTTGCTCAGTCAGAGACTTATTCTCTTCCAAAAGATACTCATTAGATTTTTTCAATTCATCTATTTCATTTTTGATTAAGCAAATTTCCTTTTCAGGTTCTTCTTTTTTAATCTCCAATGAATCTTCACTATTTTCTGACTTTTGATATTCAGACAATTTCTTATGCATCTCTTCTTTATAATCAGTTAATTTCTTAATTTTACCATTCAATATTTCCAATTCACATTCTTTAATGTCCTTGTCTTGAGCTATTTTAGTTTTCAATTTCTCATTTTCACCTTTGATATTGTCAAGTTCCTTCAAAAGATCTTCATTCAACTGATTCAATTGTGAAAACGCTGCATCAATATTTAATTTTTCTGAATGAAAGTCATTTTTCAGGCCTCTTATGATGCGTTCTTTTTCACTCAATTGCCATTTCAAGTCTTTATTTTCTTCAATTATGGCAGCACAAATTTGATTTGTTGAAGATACTTCATTATCGTCTGCTTTTATTGGGCTAGATGTTATCGAAGAATCAATATCACCATCAAATAAATCAGGTTCTTCTTCAAAAATTGTATTCAATGAATTTCTACGGGTATCTTGCAAAGGTTTTACTTCCAATATTGACTTTAAAAGCAACAGTTTTTCGTAAACATCTTGAGTGTCTTCAGTTTTAATATTATTAAATTTTGCTTTCAATTCAAAATTTTCTAGACGTAATTTATCCACGAGCTCTTTAAGATCATCTAGTTCATTACCGTATTGGTTTTCGTGATTAGTGAAACTTCTGAGTCCTTCTAGAGATTCTTCTATAAGTTGTTTTTCCTGTTTTAAAGTTGAATAAGGAGTCCCTGGTGTTCTGGGCAAACTAGGTCTGGCTAATTTATATGGAGGACTAAAGCAACATTCTTCTTGGAAATAAATATTTTCTTTGTCTTCAGCAGGAAAAAATAATTCAGATTTTGCAGGCGATATAAAAATTTCGTCTTTGACTTCATCAGATTCTTCAGGTCGAAATAGTTTCTTCTCAGGTCTAAAAGCAAGAGTGTGTCTTCTATTTGGTGGTTTGATTTTTCTTTCAACAGTCTTTGTCGAAAATAGTTCAATATTGAATATTTTTCCTTCTAGAGCGTTTATGGTTCTTTCTCTTTCCAATTTTTCTGTTCTTAATTTTTCTATTTGGACCTTATAGTCCTCACACAAATGCTCATATTGTTTCAACTGATCTTTATCAGTTACCTTTTCATTTCTTATGGGTTGATTTTTAACATACTTTGCCCTCTGTGCAAATTCGAGCGTGGACTTAGTCTCTTCCAGAGCTGCTGTGGTAATATTGGCAATGATTAAAGTTTTCGAGTTGCCACCCAAAGAATGTTGCAGAAGTCGTGTCAGTTTTGAATCTCTGTAGTTTATAAATGAATCGTTTTCACTCAATTTGCGAATTACGAGACCTAATGTGGTTAGAGATTTGTTTATCGATACTCCTTCCACTTGCCTTTCCCTTTCCATATTCATTTGACCAACACGCTCTGATCCTGCCAAATCGACAAGATTTAATGCCGATTCGACATATGAACCTTCCGAATGTAAATCTTGTGATTGGATTATCTAAAAATACAGTTAAAAAATAAAGTTTTTTTAAGATAAAGACAATAATTCACTTACCAACTTGAATATGGTATGTGATCTACTTGATCGTTCATTCATGTCGGTGCAGCCAATTTTCCGTGTTTTCATGCCCTTGTTCATCAAATTAAACAGATCTTCTGGTTCTCTGACAACTTCTTCCTTGACCACAACATATACTCCTTCCAAGCCTTCCCTAATTTTGATGTCTGTCGCGTTTGTGTCTAATAGGTCATTGATTTTTTCGTTATAAATTTCAAGGTATGAACATCTATAGAAATAATTAATAAAGATAATTTAAGATTTTACTGGAATGATTTTGACTTACCTTAAAAGGAATTTTGTTGAACAACTTTGATTTATAAAGGCAAAGATGTCTTGAACGGCGAAACTAATAATACCTGGAAATTTTTTGGATCCTAGCATGGTATGGGTCTTGCCTGACGATGTCTGTCCATAGGCGAATATTGTAGAATTTATTCCTTCAAAACAGGACATAACCAGGGGTTTTACAACTGCATCGTATACATGTTTATTTGATTGAGTGTCGTCGAATATGTGATCTAAAACTTGATTGATTGAAATCTATTCAATAAGTGAATATTATTTGTATACCAAAACTATAGGGGTCTCCAATGAAATTCTTTGAGCTATCGATTTGCACAATGCTGTTGTCCTGCACTAGCCATGATGGTTCTAATTTATCTTTTTTTTCTCTGTCTATAAAAGGCCGTACTTTTATAGCAGTTTGAATATGTACAGAACTCATTTTTGTTTTCAACTTTTCACAGTTACGTCAATTCTCTTATAAAAGCTATGTTACAATCTGTAAAAAAAAAAATATGAATACAATACAACACAATTTTCAATTTTCATTCATCAGTGATAAGATTCCAACTTTCAGCTGTAAGTTGTTTGAAAATTAGCATTTCATATCTGACTCAAGTAAGTTCATAAGATTTTATATTAAATCAAACGAGAAATCAAATCCAATCCAATGCCAATATCTCACTTTGATCTGGTCAAGAGGTCAACGAGGGGTTGTTCACAACAGAAGATTTTGTGAACACTCTGCAGGACTTAGGAGATATCCAAAACTCTTCAGGGAAATCTTGGGAGGTTTGGGGAAATCTGGGGAAATCAGGGTTGGCAAAACCCCAAATTTTTGAAAATCATTGGGTTTTTGTGATGTAATTTATCTTATTGTTTTTACCCTGTAAAATTATCTATTTTTTTATTGTTATTAATACTCCTAACTTTAGTTTTCTTTGAATTTATTTTCAAATTCTGTGATTTGCTTATATGTATTTCCAGATATCTTGGATTCAAAGCAAAGTCCTGTGTATTTTAAATGGACAAGATTTTGAAGATTCTAGGAATGAAATCTACAAGAAAAAGTTTAAGATTCTATAGGCTCATCTTATTTATAGCTATTTTGATTTTGTCAAATTTAAAGATAAAATACAGTACAGATGACAAACAGAGTTTTTCAGCCTCAAATTTAGAGAAAGATTTGAGAAGAAGCTTCATTGGCTCATAACGAGGCTCATAACTTTTGAAACCAAGTTTTGAATTCCTCAAATCCAGAGCAAGAATGCTGGTGTAGTGGAGTAGTTTTTTTCTCTTTACTTCTTTCATTTTTCACTGCAAATGTTGTCTATTTCATACTACTGAATTATGAACATATGAAACAAATTCAATAGCCTGGAATAGGTAAATAATTTTAATAAATTAGATTATACCCTGTAAAATTCTTCAAATAATTTATTCCAGAATTTATTGCTTGGAATAATCATAGATTCTTGATTGATATTTGTGAATCTGTGGTCATTATGGCTGTTGATTGCTATGGCAAGAATGAGTTTTTTTAATAAAAAAATCTTCCAAATTAGGGCAGTTAATAATTATTTCTGCATGACTGGCTCATTGTCAACATTGATGGTAGGCTTTTGTGTAAAGAACACACTAGGTTTTTGTGTATGCCAACCCTGAAGGAGATTCAGAAAAATCTAAAGGAAATCTGGGGAGATTTTGAGAAGTTCTACGGGAGAAGTGAGGGACATCTAGGGAATTCTTACTGAGAGACCGTGCCTGCGTTCAAAATTTAATTTTTTATTGATTGTGAATATTCGAGAGGATATCATGTTAACAAGATTTCCACTAAAATAAAGATATTATCCTACTTCGTGTTGTAATAAATGAAGCTTTGATATTGCCAGGAAAGTAATAGATCAAGAGAAAATGCACATGTTGTGTTAAGGAGAAGACCTGGAGAGTTGTATTCTGGCTATGCACTTGTGCTGATATTCTATGATATCCCTGAAAAATAAGGCAGCTCTAGTAAAATCTTAGGAGATTTAAGGAAATCTGGGGATATCTTTTACCGAGAGGTAAACCGCAGGGGAATTTTGCTGTACAATCTTCAAGAATTGGTAAGAAATTAGAGGGATTAGTGGGGAATTAGGAAATTATTCAGGAATTAGGGATAGAATACAACTACTCGAACTAACTGTATAAATGTACGGTATTTCAATTAAGCTGAGGAACTTTTGGAAAAGATAAGTGAAATAGAAACTTTCCAAAAGACTGATGAATCTGTGCCTGATATATTATAGTATTTTAAATATCTATTTGGAGTAACTTAATCCTTGTTTATCAATCATGATTCAGATGAAACAAAAAGTTACCAACCAATGTATTAAAAATGATATGCCTATATACCTCGATTACTCAAAAATTCTACTAATAGCTCAAACAATCGAAACAGATATGATGATGCTACAAAAAAAAAACACAGTATACCTGTTTTATATTGGGGGCAGGTTAAAAAAAACTCTAAAAGCAAATTTGGAGAATAGTTTACCTTCAATTTCTACTCAGAATAGATTCCTGGATACTGAAAATGAGGCTTTACGAGAAGGAGGATTTGATTTCAAAGGCCTATTGAAACTCTTTCATTGATTGAGGTTTAATAAAAATGATTTGGATATCCAGGGATGGCACTGAATATGACAGCAAAATCTTATAATGTGATAGGATCTCTTTTACCATTAGGAGATATTTGCATATAAAATTGTAAATAAGTTAGCACCACCTTATTTTGAACAGTTTGTTATTTTTATTAGGGATATCCATGATCACCCTATAAGGAATAATGATCATCTCTTTATTCCAAGAACGAATTTTAAGAGTACAATGAACTCATTGTTTTTTAAGAGCTTTCAGAAATTTAACAATCTTCCAAATATTCCATTAGTTCAACGTTTCAAAGATAGGCTAAGGGATTACATTCAGGCTAAAGATTAATTAAACCACTATTGCATTTACAATCTTGATATGAGTGGGTGAACCAGAGTAAGGTGCAGCTTTCTTCATAAGGTTTTCACTTGTATTTTGTAGTGTAGATAGTCACTTGTATGTCAATAGGTATGTCTAATAGGCATTTTTTCTTACATTGTATTTTTGTGTATATTAGGTGTACCAATCCACTTGATAATAGTTATTTACATTACAAGTGCGTTTATGAACATGATTACCATAACGAGTGTGAAAGATTAGAAGAACGAGGTCGTAGACAAAGGGAAAAATAAGAATGTTTTTTCGCCATTGTCCACAAGGTATTTCCCGTGTCCTGTCCGTTTTACTGAAGCAATCAAGGCATATATTCAAACTGGAGTACAAGCAGTATTTGCCTATGTAATAATGGCTGAATTTTAACAAAATTGCGTACTCGTTTCCTAAATCCTGGAATGCCAGAAAAAAAGTCACTATGTAAAGAAGAAATTCTCAATTTGGATATAAAAGCTACAGTTGAAAAAACAAAATGTCATAGAGGATATGAGACAATTGGTCTCAATGCAAAACAAAGCGAGACATCGACGAAAACCCTGAAGAAAATGAAAGTGAACAAGATGGGGCAAACACAAATAATATTAGTGAGTAATGAGGGCGATATAGTCTTAGACTTAATTTCAAAAAACAAATCAATTTCTCATGAAGATTGCAAATGTGATACTTTGGAAACAAGTTGTATAAACTTCAAAGTTGTTGGTAAAAATTCTTCAATCATCAAAAAGTCATTGTGCAGCTGGTTTTTAGAAGATCAGTCTAACGGAGAGTACCTAGATTAATAGGCAGTACAAGGAAAACTTCAAAGAAATCACCTTCTAAAAATTCCGACCTTAACTACTATAAAAACTAAAAAGGACTAAACCTTCGACTAAACAAAAGCTACCCACGTAAATATTCTTTTTTTGTCGCAGCTCTTTTACTGACTTCTTTATGTAAGCATGTAATAGTGCAAACATCTAGATATTCTTGATTAATTTTACACCATTTTGTGGTCAAAATGTGATAGATTTGGTGAATTAGTAGGGAATTAGTAAAATTAGGGGAATTAGAAATATTAGGAGAAATTAGAAGGAAATTGAGGGAATTAGAGGAATTAGTTACCATCCTGAGAATTAGTGAATACATTTTTTCCAGCGGTTTACCCCTGGTCTTTTACATAAAGATATCTCTTGTACACTTGAATATATTGTGTATTTCAGTATTGTGTAAAAAATTTTGCTTACCTTACTTATTCAAATGTATCACACAGAACCTTTTTTTTATTATCAAAATTGCTTTATTTAGAATTTTAAGATAAGATCATTTTGTTGTTATCTACCTATTTCAGTTAGGTATAATAAAGATTAAACCCGCAGGGTTTTTTACTTTGTTAATCGGTGTACAAATCACTGGTTAATATATGTCAATACCAGGTAAATACTATGTCAATAGTGTCAATACTATGCAATACCTACTTGTTAATTATGTAGGTAATATACTCGGTAATATATGTCAATACTTGTAGATATCTAGGCAATATATGTTAATGTCATTAGTTGATACCCATTAATAACATGTAAATACCCGTGGATATGTCAATACCTAGAATTCTGGCAAGACAAATATTTGATTTTAGTCTGTCAATAGCATGGCAATACCTGGTAATATGTGATAATACTAGGGAAATACCTGGCAATATGTGGAAATATTTTGTTAATACATGGGAATAGTTGGCAATAAGTTGTTATTAGGTACATGGAAATATCTGTTAATACATGGAAAATCGCATGGAAATATCTCAGTTAGCACTGTTAATCGGTGTACAAATTTTGTTAAGTAAGAAACCCCTTGATTAAAACTACGATTAAAATAATTTCAACCAGTATAAAATTGAATTTTTAAAGGTTTAGGTTACAGAAAGAGGAGATGATAATCGAGATGCAGCATAATTTTGAATTAGGAATATGATGATATTTTGAGTTCCAAAGTAAACCTAATTTCGAGGGGTGTGTCACTGATGCAGTAGGTGAACAAATATCATACATTCATGTATATGCAGTTCATACATTCTTCTGCAGTCCATACATTCTCATGCAGTCATATGGACTCATGCAGTCATAATACAGTCGCTTGCAATCGCTATAAACTCTGTGCAGTCACATGCAGTAGCGTACATTCATTGTATGAGACTGTTTACACAATGATTCCATATACACTTGCGAAAAATCGTAAGCAGTCCCTGCGAGTGGAGCCTGCAATCTTGTTAGAAATTGCTCAAAAGTCAATACAGTCAACTATCATCTTTGATGCAATCAAAGCAGTCGAATACAGTAGGTGTACAGGAAAATTTAGTGGGTGAAACATCCTTGCCTAACTTCAAATTTTGAAAAGTTACACAGAATAAAAGCTTGGAGATAATGCACAATATAATTTCAAAAAAGCAAATCTCCCAATGATGTATCAACTTTTACTGGAGGTGGATTGGAATATTCTTTATCGGTGTTGTAAAGCAGATGAGGCTATATCTTTTTTATATGGTAGGATTTATGAAATATTTGATGACTGTTCCTTAGTCCTAAGACAATTTTTAGGGTCAATAAATATCCACCATGGTTCAACAGGGAGATAGTCTGTGATATTAAAGCCAAAAATAGAAATAGGCGGCTATTTTTGAAAACGGGTATTATAAATTGTCAGACTGATTTAATAATATAATAATATTATATTATATTAAATGTAATAATAATGCTCTGAAAGTAAAGATTAAACAGGCCAAGCAAGTTTACATTAACGAGTTGAGGGAAGTATAATACAGAACAATTCAAACTTTTTCAAATTTATCAACAGCAAAAGAAACTGCTCACGTATACCACGCAACATGGTGTACAACGGCAGCCCTGTCAATAACCCAAATACCTATTGCTGAAATATTTGCTTTTTTTTTCAAAAGTGTATATGCACCAGCTGACAGCGATGAGAGCATTAAAACACTCTGTATGACTCACTTGTTAGACTCCGGATTTGGAGTAAGTGGACAAGAAGTCATGAATGCTTTAAATAATTTAAAACCAAAACAAACCCTGAGACTAGATAACATTCCAGCTTTTGTAGTAAAAGACCGCAAGTTTATTTTCGCGCCAATACTCACTATAATATTTAACTTATGCATGAAAGAAGGAAAATATCCTGAAATTTGGAAGTTAAGCAAAGTCTGTCCAATCTTTAAAAAGGGCAATAAGTGTGATATAGAGAATTATAGAGCAATAAGTATATTGCCCAACTTTTGAAGTGTTTGAATCAGTGTTGTACACTCGTATTCTTTCAGAATGCTGAAATAACCTCGCATCAGAGCAACATGCATTTATGCAAGGCAAATCAACATCCAAAAACCTAATAACCTTTAGCCAATATATGTCAGATTCCCTTGAGGTGTTCAGAGATGTCCATGTGGCTTACCTGGATTTTGAAAAGGCCTTTGATAGAGTCAATAGAAAAATATTAATTGGTAAATTAATACAGGCGAATTTGCCACATGTCTTAATTAGACTGATTAGGTCTTTTCTGCATAAACGTCAAAAAATTGTTGCTCATAACAATTATAAGTCAAATCCCTACAAGCCTACATCAGGAATACCTCAAGGGTCACTGTTATTTATTATTTTTATAAACTAGTGCAAATGGTTGAGCATCCAAAAATTTTAATTTATGCATATGATAATAAAATATATAGAAGCATAAGAAATATCAATGATTGTCAAAATGCACAAGGTGATTTGTGCAAATTGTATCAATAGTCTGTGGATAACAAGTTAGCAGTTAATGTATCAAAGTGTTTTACAAGGAAATGTACAGCAAAAAATAAGCAAAATCAAGTAAGTAGAATATGATTACTCTTCGAACAATATTAAGTTGAAAGAGGAAAACTCAATTAGAGACCTTGGTGTTTTATATGACAGTTTTATTAGCTTTAATGATCATGTCGACGAAATAGTGGGTGAGGCACTTAAGATTATAGGGTTTATCTATTGTAGCACAAAAGATATGGGTATTTCTACAGTCAAACTTTTGTATGATTCACTAGTAAGGACAAAGCTAGAATATGCATCAGTTGTCTGGGACCCATGTTATCAAAGGTCAATCCATGCAATAGAAAATTGTGAAAAGAAATTTTTGAAAAGATCACACTTTAGGAGATTCGGGGTTTAGGGCCGAATTTATAGTCATTCCTTGGAGTCGAGAGTTTAGAATGGACACTTGCTACTATTTGACTAGTTAGTCATGTCAATTCTAAACGTTCAAGGCTTCCGTAAGGTCTGAGGAAACCTTAAGGACCAACTATAAATTCGGCCCTTACCCAGTTGATGTACCATATAATGTGTTGTGTATCGAACATGGTTACAGTACGTTAGATGTAAGAAGAAAATATTTTAACGTAATGTTTTTGTATAAACTTCTTTATTATCATGTGAAAGATGAATATCTTTTGAGTCTGAAAAATATAAGTTTACCTTACCTATAGTTAAGAATGTGTGATATAATCAAGAAAACAAATTGTGATATTTTTCCAAGTAAAATAATTTTATTTAAGGAGGTACAAAGTAGATTAGGATGCTAGGGTTTTTGGGTAGTTTGTAGTTTTAGACATTCTGTGCAAATGCAAGACGTAGAGGTTATTGAATAAATAAAAAAATAAAAAAGTTACGTTTACAGAATGAAAATTCAGATTTGTATAAAAATATTTTTGTTTGGGTAGTAGAAAAGATTAACCGCAAATAACAAGCAAATTTGCCCACACAAAAATGGGGCATTTGTTTGCTCGAGGATTCAAGGAATGCAAGTTCAACAACTTAATGCACACAAGTTTAGAAAATACTTGGTAAAGGAAAATGAAAATAGACAAACTAATACCTTGAATTTTCCAAGTCGATATAAATAAAAATAATGAAAAGATCTAAGATTTCCTAGGTTTAACCAGCCCCTATGGCCTTATTATATTAATAAATACAAGATTCATGTATATTAACCCTAGACTACTATCATACATGAAAATTACGCATTTTTTTCAAAACTCCACTGCAACAAAATCCACTTTATTCGCTAGCAGTGCTTCCCTTAAAATATAATAAAGGCATTCTGCACAAATTAGTAATTGTACTAATCTGGATAATAGTTTGCTAACAAGTAGTGTAGGTGATTGAGTCGGCTTATTTTTGAAATCGCTGCATATCAATTTTACGTGTCGATTGAAAAAGGCCCGAGAAAATACTGTCACAAATGTTCTACAGCTAAGAAGAGAATGACTATACAACATAACTGTTCGAAATGCAAAAAAACAATATGTGGCGAGCATCAAGAAATTTGTCCTAGTCTCAGTCCTAGTTGTCAAGCGGTTCTTGAAAAACAGTGTGAGTGCTATTTTTGTTATGTAGAGAAATTATTTGACCTTGGAAATCAATTGAAATTTAAAACATTTACCAATAAACCAAAGCAAATTGAATAAACATGGGCTAAAGTCCAAATTTTGTGCATCATTTTTTTGCTGGAATGCGATTTTTTTTAAGAACAATTAAAATGGAAACTTACCTAATATGACATCAAAACATACACAACACGGCACAAATTATATACTAATTATAAATAACTCTTTTGTCTTGGATAAATAGTAAAAATTATTTGAAGTCCCAAGCCAAAAGACAACAAGACAACCAACAACCAACCCAACAGTTTTTTCAAAAATTTGATTGATGTCATTGATTGACACTATTGACAGAACTGAAATTTTGCTCCACTGACCATTTTGTATTCATGAGCTGAGTTCGGAATGGTAGAAAGTGTCGACACTTTTTACACTATTAACACTGTGGCGTTCGTTAATTGGTAGGAGTAAGTTTGGTGTACACTTTGTAACACTTTATTTGCGTTTGGAAATGATTTGGTGTCCAAATGGTGTGAAGATGGTGGGACACCGTTTACTCGTTACAAAGTGATGGTGTATTCGGTGTCACACCGCCGATTACACCCTTATCATGTGATATAACACTGCACCACACGAACACCTCACTAACACTGCACTAGAATCCCATTCCGAAATCAACTCTCTCATACATCGAGTTACACCGAACGTGTCGCTTTAGAGTTCCTCAGAGTCATTCCATAACACACAATTCAGATATTACAGATCATTATTTTTTAATATTAACATCACCTAAAAGGGCTTCTTGCGGGGGGCTAATTTTGATTTTTTTCTTATCACAAAATCTAGGATTGCCCATTAGTTCTTCCACTGGGGCTGGATCCGATACGTAAAAGTTTCCGAATCGAAGGTCGTAGCGATTAAAGAACGAGAAATTGATTACGAACAGACGAATCGGCTAATCGGATAGCTGCAAGTACAATGGTAGAATGTAGAATGCAAAAACTCTCGCTGGAGGTGACGTCAGCTGCAGTCCTTTAGGGTGTTTATACTTACGAACGTACTCAAAGCGAGACAACTCGGATCCAGAGCCCTTCCGTAGCTTCCGACACTGTCGACGGAATCGTTTTCTTTTTGTCCTTTTTGCACACACACTTGTCTTAGTTTTGCTCTTGTTTTTCTTGGGTATTTCTTGGGTATTGGCGTGCGTTTTGCTTCGTTTTTTTTTTCTTGTGTTTTTATCTATAACCGAATTTTCGCAACGAATGTAGGTCATCCAAGGACGAACCATAGTTTGTCTTGTGACGTCATGGGCTTGAACGCTCGCTAGAAGCTGCGTCCGTCCATGCTTTCGACGAACTACGTTCAATATGACGTCATGGTTTGTCGCAAAAGCGTTTGTGTTCATGAAATCATGGAAGTAGTTCGTCGCGAAAATTCGGTTCAAGATTATTATTAAAATATATTCGAACATACATACGAGCATAGACGAGTCGGGCCCATGGCCATAAAACATACGTTCGCCAAAATATCGAACATCGAGTACTGCGACTGACGTCACGTGCCGTCAGTCGCAGTCCTCGACCGGATTGAAGACAAAGAATGGTAACCAATTAATTTAAATTTTTTGCAAGGTAAGAACGATAATTATAGAATGAATTACAGATAATTATTTAAAAGTCAAATTGGTAGAAAGAAAATCTACGTGTAGAGAGGAAATTAGAAAGTTAATGCTATAAAGCACACGGCTTTTAAATACTAAATTGCTTAAGTTTTTTGAGATAAACATATTTAGAGACGAAGGTAGAGTAAAAGCATTTGCTACACTGAATGATTGTGAAGTTGGAAATCAACTGTTTTGACTTTACCTACTCTGAAATATTTGAATTGTTTGGGCCTAATGTTCTGTTTACTCTAAGAACACCTGACAATAAAACTGATCTGACTGTACTCCAATTTTGTGTTAAATAGCTGATTCCAGCATCGATTGCAATTTTCTCGATGCGAACGAATCTATGAATCTACCAGTCCTGAATAGACCGATCTCCTATTACCTGGACTGCGCGCGTCGCTTGTAGGCTGCAGGTGAGCGTCCAATGAGAAGTAAGTTTGGTACAGGTTTGCGTCATATTCTTATTCAGGGGCCAGTTCAGTGTGAATCGTTCCTTCTTTCTTTGTAACGTGTAATTCGACAAAGAGCAAACTAATACTTTACATATTACTCACCGCAGTGTCGTTTAAGGTTTTGTAAGATTATACTTGACATATTCCTTTGCAATTTCATTGTGCGATGTTGCCGGATGAAACATTTATCAAAATAAAAGTGTAAACGATGTTAACATAAACTTTTCAAGCGCTTCTTTTGTCTGATTCAAGGCGTTGTAAAACACTTGACACTATATTATCACTTCTTTAATGTTATAATGTTCGATTTGTATTGTCTTTATTTGTTCTGCAACAATACAATCTGGCTACACTGAACCTACGAGTTGCGCGCGCATGTCATCTTTTATTACTTTCTAACTTGTATTTATTACAATTAAGCTCTCTTTCTCTATTTATGCGAGACAGGTCTATTAAATCATACTACAAAATCTAGAGTCGTGGCAAATCTACTAGTTCTCCCACTGATTTCTGCTTGCAGTTTCAGAAGATATGTTGTGTAGTTAAACGTGTAGAACGAACTCAGGGCAAGCCAGACGCACTCAGAGCAAGTTATGCACTCGATTGCTCTGGGCTCGTTCAAGGTTTACAAATTTAATAATAGAAGGCTACAATTAGGTAGGTATTCGTTCTAAAGGAAAACTTATGGTGCGTATTCACGCTATCTCTTTCTAAATGCATTTGACGAATAATAGAATACTTTTGGGTGCCACTTTTTGGGCGCTTCCGAGTTACTCCGGCTACAGTTTGACCCGGTCGGTTTAGCGTTCGAGTGCAAAACGCATGGAGTATGACAGGTGTGTGAAGTGTTCTAGGAGCTTCGCACTCTGCACCCAAAAGCGGCTCTGATTGCATACTGCATTATTTATTGGGTTTTATTAGCTCAAAGATTGTAAGATTTGCTTGTTCAAATGAGATCTTGCACCGAGCCAAATGGACGTGCACCAGAGGGTTTGATCAAATTGCACTTCTTAAAAACGCACTCAGTGCATAGCGAAACACACACACACAGTTCTGATCTGATCTGCTCGGAGCAGATCTAGTAGATGAAAGCCTCTAAAATTTCCCCACAAACAAACGTCTAGTAGTCTAGTTTCAAAATTTACCGTTAATCAACCGTTATTTGTATTGTTTAATTTTTCATTCATTGAATAAGTAGAAATTAATGAAATCTTTAAACCAGTTTAATAATTATTCAAATTAATAAGTATGCAAGGTGCCAAGAGCGAATCATTCAGGTTTCAAAGAAATACTTCTAGAAACTCTTCAGGTTAGTCAATAAGGATAATTTCCTCCTTAAAATGCAATGTGTAGACAAACAAGCCTAAATTTGCTACTAAATTTCAATTAAGTCATATCTCCTACCTACTATAGCTTTCTCCCAGGATTATTATTCCATTTTAAGCCATATATTTAAAACTTCAACACATGGGTAGAGCACATTTCAAAAACACAATCCATTAGGCTGTGAATTCAGGTTTTTCATTTAAATTTACGAATTCACAGGTTCATCAACAAGAAGTGAAGGACAAGAACATTGTCGCAAAAGGTTGAAAGACAAATTCGATGAATGCGAAAAGGAAAACCCAAATAACTATGAAGACTCAAAAAACACAAACGACAGGACGGTTTTATCAGTTTTAAACCTTAACGATACTAGACGATATATTAGAAATGGAGCTGAGAGGATATCCAAGACCTTCAACACTGTTAGAGTAACATTTGGAACATTATCACAGGTAGAGTAGTACACAATAATTCAATTCAATATTCTCCTAAACAATTTTTCGTTGTTGTAATAGCGCTTCAAATCTGCAACTAGAAGACGCCAAATTCTGCAAGAAGGTCCCATGACGCCCAACGGCCAAACTCCATATACCAAATCGAGGCAAATGTTGGGTAGAACACCTACAAAAATGTACAGTCCTTTCGGTATTGAGAGCCCTTATTGTACGACCACGATTGACAGAGAAAATACACTTTTACCTAGTAGTTTAATCAGAAAATAACCCACCTTGTTATTTTTTACTGAAACTCTAAGATCTGTTTTTCTTGTACTTCATATACATTTTATTTTATGTAGATCAACGTTGTATGTTGGTTTAAATTACTAGTACTGTATTTATTTAATTTTTTACTAACTTATTGCAAGCTTTTTTTTACACTATATTTAGGTATTCTATTATCTATGTTTGTTTTAGTGTTTTTTTACTTATCTTTATTTTTATACACCTATTTATTAAGCTTTTTTGGATAATAAATTTCTACTAACTTTTTTAAATTTGGGTATTATTCATTTATTTTCTTATCCTACTTTTACTCAGTCAAAGACAGCAAAATTTGAATCAATTATTGATGTTTGACTCGACTTCTACTGGTGCATTTTTATTATTACTTCTAACATAACATATCTTGTGTATCAATATCCAAAAAGACATTAAGCTGCATATTCAAATATTCCTCAAACAAATTATTGCTAAGCTTTTCTTCTCTGACTTTGCCCATTATTCGTGCCAGAGTCACCGCCAATACGTGTTCACAGCTCAAGCTACGTTGCAAGTCCAAAACTTGACTGCTGAAAAAATCGCACTGGCAAAAATTAACGTTTCCAATTATGATGTGTCGGTCTTGGGATTTGGATATTTCGTATACTTTTCTGAAAGAGTCTGGAGTTGAGTAGCAAGTTACTCTTGCTTTTTCCAGTAGTTGAGTGGCTTGGGTGAGTGACTCGCCAAAATAGGAATGGAGAATTTCAAGAGTTTCATTGGGAACTAGAAAAGAATAATTAAAATGATTTCATTAAATTATATTTTCTATTAGGATATCTGTAAATAACATTTCTATTTTGACTGTATTTTTTATGTTGTATAAGTAGTAGTTAATGTAATTGAGCATAGTTTTCTCAGAATGCTATTATTGTGTTTCCAAACCAAAGACCTTAGGGCATGATTTAGAAGTAATTAAGTACCTAATTTCCAACTTACACAAATTTTGCTCTCCAAAGATAATTTCAGCTCTTTCTAATTCCTGAAATGCTTTCTGGGGTATAAAACTTTTTGAAAATACTGATTTTTCCATTGCTTCTATTATTTTTGATACCTAATTTAAATTGGTCTTTTCTTTTTCCCAGACCAACCATAACCTCTGAATAGAAGAAAATACTTGTTTTCTAGTCTGTTTTAACCTCATACAACAAACAACATTTAAAAAAATTTAATAATTTTATTTTTATCAAAATACTGACCAATGCAATATAGTATGCGCCTATCGCAGTCTCCATATATATCGTAAGGTTTCAGGATTACCGGATAATACGCAGCAACACCACGACTCCGAAGGAGGAGTGGTGTTGCTGGTAACGCGTTGAGTGTCAGGTAAAAGTATTAGGTAATCCTGAAACATCGAGTGGTATTAAAAAGGTTATACAACAACGAACTAAACTTTGTAACTCTAAAATTTAAAAAAAATTCTATAATAGAATTTGCCATAAATGCCACCAAGCGCGATAATCCCAAAAGGCTTATCACTTGTTAAGCCTCTCGTGTCATATGGGAATAATGTACAGTGAGTTGTATAATCTTATAATAATCCAATACCTCGTCCAATGAATAATTTACTAATCTGAGATAGAGATAAGTTATTAAATAAAAATAAATATTCAATTCACGTCTCTTATGTTAATACCTATGTAATATCCATATCAATATATCTACTAGGTATACCTACACAAAACAACATAAAAAACGAATAGAGGATTTAAACTCAACAGTGGAATTCCTACTTTCCAGAGTTTATAGATCCAAATTGGGAGATATCTGGATCTGGGTCCTCGATTCTATAAAGTTTATTTGTCGTAGAGCTTAAATTTGACTAGGAAAGGGAAAAAACCCTTATGCCCAACTCTCCCTTTATATTGAAATATCAACCTAGAAAGGAGTTGAAATAACTCTCAATTCTGACCATCCCAGAATTCAAGATGAGCTGAATCAGCTGAAGCAGCTTGGAAAGCTCATTTTTGACGCTCCTATAGGATTGAAATTCAATTAGAAAATCGTAAAAATTTTATTCGCGGATTTCCTAGAGCTGAAATTTCCACTTGGAAACATTAAAACTAATTTCTGGTCATCAAACTTGAGTTGGAAAGGTTTAAAAACCTAATTTTTGACACTCCTGAAGCAAAAATTCAACTAGGAGGCATAAAAATCCAATTTCCAACTCTCCTAGAGCTCAAATTTCCACTAGAAAAGTATATAACTGATTTCTGACCCTCCTGGAGTAAATTGAACCGGAGCAGTTTCAAAAGCTCATTTTTTTATCTTTGTAGACTAGACTAGGAAAACGAAGAAATCCTATGCCCAGAAGCTCTCATATTGTTGAAATTTCAACTAAACATAATTCGAGATGAGCTGAAAGCGGTTCAGAATGAGTTGAAATAGGTTTGGAAACCTCATTTTTTGACTCTCCTAGAGTAGAAATTCAACTAGAGAAGCGTAAAAATCCTATTTCCGGCTCTCCTATAGCTGAAATTTCCAGTAGAGAAGTATAAAACTTTGATTGTTACCATCCTGAAATAATTATGTACCTAGATTTTATTGCATTATAATCCAATCAGTCCATAACTATAAAGACATCCCCTAACTTTATAATATAAGCCAACTTAATACCAGAAAAAGTTGGAAAATTCATGTTAAGTAAATCAGTTTTGAAAAATCCTGAAAAATACTTCGGCGTATCAGATCGACTTGAAACTTTCAGGGTTCATTAACCAGGATGTTTTCATCAAACACGGCAAATTTGAAGTCAATCTGAAGCTCAGAAATAAAATTATGAAGTTTCTTTCAATTTAATACCAGAAAAAGTTGGAAAATTTCAGTTAAATCACCTTTGAAAAATCCTGAAAAATACTCCGGAGTATCAGATCGACTTGAAACTTTCAGGGTTCATTAACCAGGATGTTTTCATCAAACAAGGCAAATTTGAAGTCAATCTGAAGCCCAGAAATAAAATTATAAGGTTTTTTCCAACTTAATACCAGAAAAAGTTGGAAAATTCATGTTAAAAAACACCTTTGAAAAATCCTGAAAAATACTTCAGAGTATCAGATCGACTTGAAACTTTCAGAAATTATTCACCAGGATCTTTTCATCAAACAAAGCAAATTTGAAGTCAATCTGAAGCTCAGTAATAAAATTATTATGTTTTTTCCAACCGAATACTAGAAAAAGTTGGGAAATTTCAGTTAAATCACCTTTGAAAAATCCTGAAAAATACTTCGGAGTATCCATCGATTTCAAACTTTCAGGAATTATAAACCAGGATTTTTTCATCAAACAAGGTAAATTTGAAGTCAATTTGAGGCACAGAAATAAACTTATAAGGTTTTTTACAACTTAATAGGTACCAGATAAAGTTGGAAAATTCACGTTAAATCACCTTTGAAAAATCCTGAAAAATACTTCGGAGTATCAGATCGACTTAAAACTTTCAGGATTTGTTAACCAGGATCTTTTCATTAAACAAGGGCAATTTGAAGTCAATCTGAAGCTCAGGAATAAAATTATGAGTTTTTTTTCAATTTAATACCAGAATAAGTTGGGAAATTTCAGTTAAATCGCATTTGAAAAATCCTGAAAAATACTTCGGAGTATCAGATCGATTTCAAACTTTCAGGAATTATAAATCAGGATGTTTCCATCGAACAAGGTAAATTTGAAGTCAATTTGAGGCACAGAAATAAACTTACGAGGTTTTTTCCAACTTAATACTAGAAAAATATTGAAAAATAGGTAGGTAGGTACTTTAGAGTATCAGATCGAATTGAAACCATGATCTTTGCATCAAACAAGGCAGGTAGAAATTCAACTATAGGAGGCCTAAAAATCCTATTCCCAATTCTCCTAGAACAAGAACTCATATTTCCACTAGAGAAGTATGAAACTTATTTCTGACCATCCTGGAGTAAGTTGAACTGGTGCGGTTCCAAAAGCTCGTTTCTAATCCTTGTAGAGCTTAAATTTGACTAGGGAAGCGAACAAATCTTTCAGTAGGTACCTACCTTAAGTGGGTAGCTAGAACTAAATATCCAGAATTCCACGCTGATTATCCAGTCAGCTTTAGGGTTTCTGGGATCTCAAAACACCAGCAAACTTTTACATATAGCAACCGCAATTATAAGTAGGTACCTATGAGATTCTTGATCAAAAGACGAAAAAATTATAGAACTTGTAGAAGGACTTGAGAAAATCAGATGGGTGAGATACACATTGAGATTTTCAGAAATAGAGCGAGTTAAGATAAACTTCATACATATGAATTCAGGAAACCAACTATGTATACCCTAAAGACAGAAAACGAAACACATGCAGGGTTTGTGATTGTGATATAAGCAAAGACATCAAGACATGCATCCAGACATTTATGGGACATTAATATGAAGTATGATAATATTTCTGAACATCAATATGAAGTATGAACATCTTCCTGACTGAACATCAAAATAAAAATAGTATGAACATTTTCCATGCCTAATGCACCGACCTTAACTATAGCAAATGAAGAAGATCTGGACATTTTTTCCTTGAAACTGTATCAATAGTCATAAACGAAGTAACTATTATCATGGGCCATTTTGATTCTAGATAAGATCGCAATTAAGGAGGATACCAAATAAAAAAATGGCAACTTTGGATATAGATCCAGAAATGAAACAGGATATAAAAGCTCTATAAGAATACCTAAAACATGTTAACACTTTCTTCTGGAAAAGACCCAATACAAAATTGTACTGGATATCACGAGAGAACATTACATAAAACGAAATAGTCAACTCTCTATGGAAGAGTAGACACATTTTAGAAGGTGTACATCATATTATACCTTGTTAACAGATTATAAAGTTGTTTAAATTTAAACTTGAGACCAAGTTTGAACAAACAGTGGTTTAGCAAAACGGTGACTATTATGACTGTTGGAAATACTTGGAGAAGACTTTCGAAAGAAAAATTAGTAGTAGATTCTACAAGAAACATCATCATGATAGATGAACTGAACAGCTTTTTGGAAGAAATTCAAAATGCAGGCATAAGCAATTAAACAATGGAATCGATGAGCCAACGAAAAGAACACCCCTGATGAGCCATGGAAAAACATTATAGTCTATGAAAGGAAAAGACATCAAGAAAGACATGCATTCAGACATTCAACATCTCAAAATATAAAGTTGAATCATTTCGAACGACAATAAGAGCATCTGCCAAAAGCTTTATCAAAATCTGACCTAAAAGATCTAGAAATTTTCCTTTAAGTTGTGTCGACAGGTACAACGTAAAAAACTATTATCATGTGCAGCCTTAATGCCGAATTTAGTGGAAGATACTGAATACAAAAGTGGCATCTAAGGCTAAGGAGCAAAAGTTCGAAAAAAGAGAGGCATCATGAATACGTAGAACAACAAAATCTGGAGGTGGTTTCTTTAAGTAAAGACTCAACCATCGAAAAATACACCTGGATATTGCCAGACAGCATGACAAATGTTCCCATTTAACATTCTTCTATGGACTTTTTGCAAAAATTTATACTGTTTTGGGGCTTCGTAACAATAAGATTGTGACAGAATTTGGAGCTCTTTTTTTTTATAAGGTTGAATGAATATATGGAACACGTTGTTCAATGAGTTTGATGACTTCCAAGTTTCAAGTTTTAGTTTTAACCAAGTAGATTCTGACGTATCTTCAATTAAACATATTTTATCTAAATTAAAAACAAATTTATTATAAATAACAATTAAATGGTAACGTTATGTTTTTCGTCCTTATCCTATTTACAAAGCTACGTCCCTGTATTTGGAAATTTCATCAGCCGAAGTGTTGCTCAAAGAATTCCTACTGTTGAGCCTCTCCAGTTGTTTTTTGTAAATTAAAAAATCAGGCCCATCCAATGGACCATAATAAATGGGTACCCCGTAGTTTTCGATCGGTTGCGCATAAAACCCTGTCCTGTTTCTGATTATATGACTCGTCTTAGGATCCCCGTCGATATCGTCCATGGATTTGTATCTGCTCATGGATAATTTTGACGGTAGGGTGGAATAATTTATTTCCGACATTGCTCTCATTTGTGGTTTGGTTGGTGGGATTATGAGGTCTTGATGATCTGGGAGCCATTGTTGTTGGTCTAGAAACCGTAAATCCATAAGGGATTGGCTCTTTTTCTCGCTATTGTCGAATTCAACGGGCACGAAAACGCTGGCGTTGAATTCGCTGGTAGTTGTTGAAGTAGAGTACTGATAGCCTCCATAAGGTACCATCAGGTGCATGTTGTTCCATAAATGAGGCATTGAACCGTATCTGAAATAAGTGATGGATGATGGACAACTAAAATAAACTATTGCTTTTGTATATTATTGTGCACCTATGTAGTTTCTAAGAAATCAAGCTTCAAAGTTTATGTAGAAGCAACTTCATAGTTCAAAATTCAATTTTATATGTTTTTTAAACATGAACATGTAGTTGTGGAATTTCAAATTGTAAGACCGATAAAAATTACAGAATGGATTTTTTCTACGACTATTAGAGAATTCGTCCATTCCGACTTAGTTAGATTACGAAATAGCTTCATTCCATCACTAGTGAAAGAATATTTATTCTGGCATTAACACAGGATATCAATATTTTACCAAGAATCAAATTTTCTATCAGTATTTCTAGATTTTACTGAAAAATTTCCATTTATTAGGTCAAATTTGCATAATTTATATGTTCAATCCCACTGTTTCTCATAAAGTTACTGTACCCAATCAATGCAAAATGTGCCAATAATGTGCGGGTGCAATTTAATGGAAATATAAAAAGTTCTAGAATAAATTAGCAATAGCACCTACTATAATTTATGCATTGTAGATTTTAGTGCAAGAAATTTTTACAAATTACTGATTTAATTATCTGACTGATAGTGTACCTTGACAGAATTTATAATTATTTACAGTTAAGTATATTAAAACAGTTACCTTTTAAGACTCCCGCCATCGATTTGATCCACAAATTCTTCACTGGTAAAACCGTTATTTTGATAATTTTCCGAAACAGCGCTTTCCATTCCAGCCATTTCTTGTATCCTCTTCTCCATTAAATCCTCATCTTTCCACAATGTGTAGAGAGATTGGATCAGTATAATTTGTATTACGTTAACTATTATTCTCAAGAGCCAGCACGAGAGTTCTGTGATACCGTAAATATGGCCTGTACCCTGTAAAAAAAGTTCATTAATATTTTTCTTTGGAAATTAAATAATAAATTATATTAGGTGAAAATAACTGGTTTTCTGTTATTTATTAGCTAATATAATTAATGGTAATAATATAATTTACGGTAAAGAAACAATTACAATATAAAAAAACTATCTATTTGATACAGTAAATTTATTTTTATACTGTCTTCAGTTGGAGAAAAGTAGTTTTCATGCATAGGTATTCTACAGAAAACACAAAATGGTGATAAAAGCACAGAGAAAGGTTGAACTTGTTTTGTATTTCTAGGAGGTACGTGAAAGTCACTTATTCTTAGTATGTAATAGGGAAGAATCAATTACATCATTTATTTATTTATGAAACGCATAGCATTGATCAAAACAAGTTCTTCTTTTTTAAAGTAAAAGTTAACTGAGTAATTTTATAATAATATCGAGAATTTAACGTGTTGATCATAGAATCCGGCTCCAAATCTCAGAATAATTTAGTGTATTGAGTTTGAGTGGTCCCAAAGGACCATTGAAGACACAAAATCTCAAAAAAAAATATTGAAATTTCATCGTTCTAGTACCTATACTGAGGCAGCTTATGATTTAGATTTTGGAAAACTTTGAAAGGTCATAACTTTTTGTCTATTATAGATAGAAAGCTGAAACTTTCACTGAAATTTGTTTCATTCAAGGGACTACAAACCCTGAACTTTTCAAATTTTTCCAAAATCTAGTAGGTAGGTACTAGATTTTGGAAAAATTTGAAAAGTCATAACTTTTTTTCTATTATAGATAGAAAGCTGAAACTTTCACTGAAATTTGTCCCATTCAAGGGACTACAAACCCTGAAAATTTCAGTTCATTTGCACTTATAGTTCCTGAGATAAAATCGTGTTAAGCAATTTGGGGTGATTTATCAATTTTTCAATTTTTCTGAGTGCCCTTTTTCATAGATTTCGGCTTCAAATCTGAGAATAATTTAGTTTATGGAGTTTGGGGGATGTTGATTGACCATTAGGATAAAAAATCTCGACAAAAAAAAAATTTGAAATTTCATCGTTTTAGTAAGAAGGTACCTACCTACCTTATGATTTAGATTTTGGAAAACTTTGAAAGGTCATAACTTTTTTTCTATTATAGATAGAAAGCTGAAACTTTCACTGAAATTTATCCCATTCAAGGGACTACAAACCCTGAAAATTTCAGTTCGTTTGCACTTATAGTTCCTGAGATAAAATCGTGTTAAGCAATTTGGGGTGATTTATCAATTTTTCAATTTTTCTGAGTGCCTTTTTTTCATAGATTTCGGTTTCAAATCTGAGAATAATTTAGTTTATGGCGTTTGGGGGATGTTGATTGACCATTAGGATACAAAATCTCGACAAAAAAAAATTTGAAATTTCATCGTTTTAGTAAGAAGGTACCTACCTACCTTATGATTTAGATTTTGGAAATCTTTAAAAAGTCATAACTTTTCTTCTATTATAGATACAAAGCTGAAACTTTCACTGAAATTTATTCCATTCAAGGGACTACAAACCCTGGAAATTTCAGTTCATTCGCACTTCGCACTTATAGTTCCTGAGATAAAATCGTGTTAAGCAATTTGGGGTGATTTATCAATTTTTCAATTTTTCTGAGTGCCTTTTTTATAGATTTCGGCTTCAAATCTGAGAATAATTTAGTTTATGGAGTTTGGGGGATGTTGATTGACCATTAGGATAAAAAATCTCGACAAAAAAAAATTTGAAATTTCATCGTTTTAGTAAGAAGGTACCTACCTACCTTATGATTTAGATTTTGGAAAACTTTGAAAGGTCATAACTTTTTTCTATTATAGATACAAAGCTGAAACTTTCACTGAAATTTATTCCATTCAAGGGACTACAAACCCTGGAAATTTCAGCTCATTTGCACTTATAATTCTTGAGATAAAATCGTGTTAAGCAATTTGGGGTGATTTATCAATTTTTCAATTTTTCTGAGTGCCTTTTTTTATAGATTTCGGCTTCAAATCTGAGAATAATTTAGTTTATGGAGTTTGGGGGATGTTGATTGACCATTAGGATAAAAAATCTCGAAAAAAAAAAATTGAAATTTCATTGTTTTAGTAAGAAGGTATATGATGATTTAGATTTTGGAAAACTTTGAAAGGTCATAACTTTTTTTCTATTGAAGATAGAAAGCTGAAATTTTTAGCGATTCTTATTCCAGTAGAGGACTACAATCCCTGAAAATTTCAACTCATTTGGACTTATAGTTCTAGAAATAAAATCGTGTTAAGCAATTTGGGGTGATTTTATCAATTTTTCTGAGTGCCTTTTTTCATAGAATCTGGCTCCAAATCTCAGAATAATTAAGTGTATGGAGTATTGGGGGTCCCAGAGGACCATTAAGACACAAAATCTCAACAACAACAAAATTGAAATTCCATCGTTTTAGTAGTAAAGTAGCTATGGTATGCTATGCTACAAATAGTTTTCAATAGCTAACTTTTTGCTTGGTAGGTAGGTACCTACTTGTACAAAATTTTTATTCAAGAATGGAAATTAATATTTTTTCTATTCCAGGCTCTTGATTTTCCTTTATTGCGACAATTTCAAGAGCCGGGAATAGACAAAAATTGAGCTGTAAAAATTGAGAGAAGAAAGTCCAGAGAAATTGAGAAAACATCGGTACACACAGAAAATTAAAATTATAGACAGAAAATTAAAATTATTTCTAGTCCAAACTCTTGAATTTATTAAATTTTCTCTATTAGGAGAAATTTGCAAGGAAACAAAAACTCAAAAGCCAGAATAGACAAAAAATGAGACAGAAAAATGGAGAATTATTGAGAATATCCAAAAATGTGCAAGTATAGGTACCCTCATTAGTGATAAGCATATATAGGTAGTGAATTTTCTCCAACATTCCTTAATTTTAATTCTTACTTATGTAGTTAGGCAAATAATATTAATTTCCAAACAAAAAAAAAAAAAAAAATCCTAAACTTTATGAGAAAAAGTGCTCAGCGAAGGTATACATAATTAATCGGATATGGTTATTTCAAAGTACACAGAGGTATAGGTATAATACAGATACATTATTTATAAAATTGTCTTTCAATTTCAACCATTGTTTTCCAATTTTCTGATACAATCTTTAATAGTTCTCTGGTCTATATATTTCAGTCATTAATCACTTTGATAAAATGGTTACTATAAATCCCATTCAGTTTACTATTAATTAACATTCTTTTAATCATTTATTGCACTATATAGGAGGCATAACCACTTAAAAGACAAGTTTTTTTTTAAAAATTTTGAGTCTATACGTGCCACCCTTTCTGATATCTTTCCTTTGGTTTTTGAAGGAAGAAGACTTCCTGGACAAGAAATCTATAGTAGTGGAGAGTTTATGATTTCATACCTCAACTTGTTTTTCAGTATTTATTTTTTTCTTTATCGAGATACTACAGTGGTAGTAATGATGAGATTGATGGGAATATTTTTTTAACTCTAATGCGTCCCTTTATAATAGCATAAATGCAATGGAAATCATACAAAGTTAAAGTTTTGAATTCACTTAATTACTTAAGAATAAATTATGCTACTAACCCAATAATCCACGCTCATGTAAATCACAAGTCCCGCTTCAGGAAATGTTAAAATAGTTACGGCAAACATCCACGTTACAAGGCAAAGGGAATTTTTCTAAAACAAGTATGCAATTAAACCTAGGCAACGGGAAATTGTATTTTTAGCATATACGAAATCATTATTATTGCGATATATTCAAATCGAAACAATAACGTAGGTGTAACTTACGGTTGCCAATCCGTGTAAAAGTAAAGCGGCAAAAAGGCTCATGGCAAAAAATCCCGCGGATAAGAGAACTGCGGCTGCAGGAAGAGCATTCGAAGATTCCAGGATGATCCAGATTAGTTCAAAAGCGAACGCTATCAAATAGGCAATCTAAATATACAGACATTTGATTACAATATGTAACAATGGATGGGAAAAATCTTACCAGTAAATAGGCCGCAAAAAATCCACAAGCTATTGGCAAACTGCAACAGAAGCACTTTTCAATAAAGGCCATATTATTGTTTAAATTTACAATTACGCCAAATATTTAACATTGTTCTTGGTTTTTGGGGACACTTAGTTTTTCGTTAACGCGTCACATTAGAAGAAGCGCCTTTAAAACTATTACAAAACTGTTATTTGTTTAAAAGAAAAACAAGGTGGGTGAGGTCCCCTCCGTATTTGAATGAGTGAGTAATCAAGTGTAGGTTACATTTGCAACTATATACACATTTAAATATTTTGTTCACGTGCTGCGTATACCTTTACTTTCTCTTTGCCTTCCCACCACCTATACCTGTAACAAGATTTTTAAACAATGCCAATGACGCTCGAAGAAGAATGATTTCATTATTGTTTAAATAAGTTGCGGTTCTTTTTGTTAGGCAACCACTTCTACGACTTTACCAGCATTGATCTACTGAATATAGCATTCTATACAACTCTACAGATTTTCTGGAAACTGCCTTATTGTTATTCTATCTTGAAATTCAATGTTATGGTTTTTGGACCAAACATTTTCCCTTTGGATATTTGTTTTTCTAGATGAGCAACGTTACACCCTTCCAGATGAACATTCTTCCTCAAAGGTCTACCAACTACAGACATTTGTTGATGATTATCAGAACTCCTACTGGATTTTGAAAGTTTTTCATATAGCGGCGCCTTTTTTCAGTGCCCTGTTGCATTGTTCTTTCTGTGTCTCCCGAGATTTTCCACCTCGTTAAGGTGAAACAGATATCCAGATCAGATTCCTTGTGAATTTGATCACTTCTCAGACTTCTCTCTCTTGAAGAATGGCGTTCTGGATCGATCTTGGTCATGCACCTAATGATAATTATCAAAATACTGTTAAAAATATTTATTCAAATAACAAATACAAAAACTAAAATAATTGTAATAAACCCCCACAAAACATTTTGTAAATAAAATTGCTTCTCAAAATTTTCTTGAAGATTTTTGGCTTTTAGGTTTTTGAATATTCTCCTTTAACATAGGTATATGTATTACTTAGTTTAAAATTATCACATATTTATTTTCTTCTTAGTACCTAGTGAAATGCATAGACTAACATTAAAAGAGTACACAAAGCTACCACCAAGCCTACAATAATAGAATCGCGTCTTTTCCTGATATTGATTCGACTAATCAAACTGTTAATTATCGGATATTTATTGGAAATATCGTTGAATCGGGTTTGGAGTCTCTTTAGTGTATGTCTTTGCGTTGTAAGATGTTCTCTTGTCTCAACTGCTATGGATATTTGTTCGTTTATCAAATGGTCCGAACTGGAAACAAATTTTTAGTTCAATCTACAATAAATAAATAAAACTTACTTGTGAATATGTTGATTCTCTTTCAGATACATATCGCGCCTATTATTAACACCATCTGTTCTGAACGAACTGTCGTTGGAGCCTTTGAGCAGATCTTCTCTTTCTCTTCTGCTTTCGTGTTGCGAATTGGTCTTGCGGAAATCGCGTGATAAATCGGCTAATATTTCTCGATGTCTTTGGATTGTGTGTAGCATAGCCGCTCCGGAAACTGGTTGTTCAGATAGTCTTTCATTAACTTGAGTCAACTAGAAAAAAAAACCCAACTTAGATACCCAAACATAAGTAAATATGCCCTGGCAGAGATGGAATTCCTGTCATATTTTTAGGGAACTTTGCAATCTGACCTAATAAACCAACCAAGGAGGAGTGAAAACATATTTTCAAGCTTTTATAGAAGTAACACATCGTAAACATATAGTTATTGTTTATAATTTGAAGCAAATATGGAATACTCTAAAGAAAAAAAGTTTCACCTTAGTTAATAGTTCTTCAATTTCGGATGCCATAGCTTCAAAAGTGTCTTCTCCTGATAAAAGCGGGACAGTGTCGGCATGTCCGGCAGGAGTTTTAATGCCGGCACCGAGTTTGCTGAACGCAACCAGTTTGAGGTCGATTTCATTTTCCAGTTGTCTCGCATGTTTGCGAAGATCTGAAATAGAAACATGCATGAATCAGTAACTAAAAAAGAATTAATCAAGTTGCCCATTGATACTGGAAGCTCAGACATATCTACATAGTGTTTCCTATAAATCTAAATGTCACAATAGCTGCTTCATCTTTAAATGCCCCTGTTTGTGGATACTGTATTGTGATTGTAAAAATATCAGATCATGTGTACAAAAATATCAGAATATACTGAAGTTCTTAGAAAATCTTTGTTCTGATGTTATAATTGGACATAACATTCTTCAAAATCATTCAGGAGTAGAATTCAGTTTTGGCGGAAATCAATCAAAACTTTCTATCTGTAATCCAGTAACTGCAGATATTCGACCTTATCCGCTGTCTGCAAATTGCCAGGCCTAACTACTACATAGGTCTATGACTATACTGCAGCTAATTTTACACCTCATGAACGCATGTTCAACCATCTTAGAAGATCAACTAATGGAACTTCAATGTCTACATGGTTGAGCACCCCAGTACCAGTTTTTCTCAAGAAACATGTTAGGCATAGCAAATATGATCCACTAATAGAAGAGGTTGGATGGAATGGAAGAGAAATAGCTCTATCAACTCTTCATTTAGCACCAAGGGGAGATTGAGGGGGAGATGTAACCCTGCCAGCTCCGACAGATCAAGATCAAAATGATGTGACACTACCAGAACAAGATCAAGATGTCCAATAAAACTGCCAGAACAAGATTTTAATGAATTAACTATTCCTGAAGAAAACCTTGTATCAGTCAGTTCAGAACGTTTATCATAGCCGTTTTCTCGCGTCCACTTTTTTCAAAACAGTTTTGAAACGGGCAATGGTGTTTCTATTGACTGTTTCAAACCAGTTTTGAACCAATGTCAAAAAAGTGGACGCGAGAAAACGGTTGTTCCCTATAAATTATTCTAATTGTTTCCTTTCCCAAAATTCTGAACAATCTCACAATGAAAATCCCGAGGAAAATCCTCCAGCTTCATCTACAGTGAAACCTGCGTCCGGTCGTGTTATGGTGAAGAGAAATCATGGACCTTCTTCATATCTTCAAGATTATCAGAAACTGAGCGAGGAAGAATGTTGTATATCTCATTACCTTATTTATTGTTTTCTATTTATTTACCTGTTATGTTGTATGTTATATTGTCAGTTATTGTCAAATAATCTGTACTGAATTTTAGTTTATTAGGGCCAAATAGACCTGTCTCGCATAAATAGAGAAAGAGAGCTTAATTGTAATAAATACAAGTTAGAAAGTAATAAAAGATGACATGCGCGCGCAACTCGTAGGTTCAGTGTAGCCAGATTGTATTGTTGCAGAACAAATAAAGACAATACAAATCGAACATTATAACATTAAAGAAGTGATATAGTGTCGAGTGTTTTACAACGCCTTGAACCAGATAAAAGGAGCGCTTGAAAAGTTTATGTTAACATCGTTTACACTTTTATTTTGATAAATGTTTCATCCGGCAATATCACACAATGAAATTGCAAAGGAATATGTCAAGTATAATCTGACAAAACCTTAAACGACACTGCAGTGAGTTCAAGTAATATGTAAAGTATTAGTTTGCTCTTTGTCGAATTACACGTTACAAAGAAAGAAGGAACGATTCACTCTGAGTCTGAACTGGCCCCTGAATAAGAATATGACGCAAACCTGTACCAAACTTGCTTCTCATTGGACGCTCACCTGCAGCCTACAAGCGACGCGCGCAGTCCAGGTAATAGGAGATCGGTCTATTATGGACCAACTGGTAAGTGTCTGGTTGCTACCTAGCCGGTACTTTCTATTCTCTAGTGCATTTGGCGCAGACGGTTTGTTTGAGGGGTTTCCGACCACTTGCGGGTGGGCCTGAGATCAGGAGGACCTGCAGGCCCATTACTCAGGGAGGAATAATTAATTTTTTTGGTCTGGTTTCTGAGATTTCATGGGACTATGTTATTGATGGATCACTCGGTGTGGAAACAAAAACATCATTATTTCAGAATAAAATCAGTAAATGCTTCAATGAGGCCTTCACTGAAAAAACCTACATAAATAAGATTAATCACAATCACTGTAATTGGTTCAACCCTAATCTGAGAAGTCTTAAGAGAACAAGTTAAGCTCAGTAATTACTTGTATAAAATAACGCCTGGTCCAGGCATGTTACAAGAACGAAATAAGTAAGACGTGAATATAGAAAAAAAATAAAGAAAGCCAAAGTGTCGTATGTTGATAGATTAATAGGCACATCGAGTAATCTCTCCAAGGCCGCGTGGTCCATCATTAATCAGAGTCGAAAACAACAGAGAGAGTACAGCAGGGCAATGTCATTTCTCCACAAGACTTTGATACATGTAAATGTCGCACATAGACTACTAGAGGGTCTTGATCGGGGCCATCGGCCTACCTGCATTGGACGTGCGCGTGGTTCTGGGTTTGAGTTTAGAGAGGTGACGTTTGTGAAGGTTAGGAAAATCATACAGAGCCTGAAGAATAGACCTAGTCGAGACATTTACCAGCTTAATGTTCCTCTTTTAAAGTCAATAAAGGAATTAATATTGTATCCCTTGACAAAGCTTATAAATATGTCTCTTAAGAGTGGGCTCTTTCCGAGGGTTCTGAAATAAGCTCTTGTTATTCCAATATACAAGAATAAGGGAAACATAGACGAAAAAGGAAACTATAGACCCATATCCCTCCTTCCAGTCTTTTCTAAAGTTTTTGAGAAATGCATAGCAATACAGTTGACGCAACATTTTGAAACAAATATCCTTTTTAATGAGGCTCAATTCTGGAAGCCTTTGAAAGCCTTGAATATACCAGTACCACCTTCTGTGACCTGAGTAAAGCATTTGACTGTGTCTCGCACGAGCTTTTGCTGAGAAAACTATCAACTTACAATCTTAGTGGAAAAAGCATTGCCTTAATAAAATCCTACCTCAGTGATAGATATCAGACTGTCAGGGTTGCAAACGCACAATCGGAGGGTTTGTAGCTAACATCTGGGGTACCTCAGGGTTCGGTGCTCGGACCGCTTCTTTTCCTTATTTATATAAACGATTTGCCAGAGAACATACCTTCAGTTAGCTTCAATCTCTTTGCTGATGATACCACTTTCATGACTACTGGTAAAAACTTGAATGAAGTGAGAGAAGTGGCGTGTGGGGTGCAGTCAGATGTAAAACAATGGTTTAATGGTAATGGTCTGGTATTTAATGAATCAAAAATGAACAATATAATTTTTGCTTTGAGAGAGATTGATGATTCCATAACTAAAGACTCGGTGAGGTTTTTAGGGGTAGCTTTGGATTCAAAATTGACTTGAGAGCTTTATATTAACGAACTGTCAGCTAGGCTTCCTAGAAGTGTTTACCTTCTGAGAAACCTATTGGGAATTGTCTCGGGACAAATACTTAAAATGGTCTACTTCGCACTGTGTCACTCGTGCATGTCATATGGAGTAATAGTGTGGGGGCGAGCTGCGCAAGCAGACAGAATTTTCGCGTTGCAAGGCAAAGCAGTTAGGGTGATAGCAGGGCTGGGGTATAGAGATGAATACAGGGGATCTTTTTTCTAGTTTGGGACTTCTCACGTTTCCTGGTATCTAGACTGAAAAAGAATCAAAATGGCCCAAACTATTGGGCAATTAAGTACTTTGATAGACTACCTGAACAAGTACAAGGCCTGCCAATAGAAAAAATCAAAGTCAAAATGAAGCAATACCTAATTTCTCAGGCATTTTTTTCATGTGATGAAAACGTGAGTTAAGCGGCGTTTCCACAAGTATAGTTCATTGGCGCCAGTGCACGTGCCAGTTTGCTGGCGTAATAATAGTGGTGCCACTATCTGTTTCCACTTGATATCAAAATTTTTTAACTGGCGCAGTAGATAAATGAAAAATGGCGTCAACTTTAATGTTGCAGTGAATATTGTTTTTCTAGAATTATTGCAGAAGACCCGAAAAAACAAGAAAAAGAAACATAAACACAAGATCTGGATACGAAAATGGATTTCACTCAGAAAAGCTCTAGGAGCATCAAATAATTTACTGTCTGAGTTAACGGATGGAGACCATAAGGCATTTCCAAAGCTTCTTATTTTGCTTTCGGCAGCAGTGATATCAAAACCACTTAAGAACACGAGAACTCGCACAATACGTTAACACTTATCCTTATATAGCATCATCCCGTTTATTCCTAGTTTTGTAACACAAAAGTTTGTGATTCCACAAACAGGGATGCTCTTCCATAAACTTTATATGTACAATTTTTTAGATTTACTTGACGTTTCCATTACTTTTCTGAAAACGAATAGTGAAAGCTTTTGTATTTTTTTTTTTGACAAACTGTCACACATGGCAAACTGGCGCCAAAAAGTAGACCTCCATTCTACTTTACTGGCGCCTGAATAAGTGGCGCAAGTTAACTGGCGCCAGCTAATTTTCCGAGTTTCCACGCGCCAGAAAAGTTACGCCAGTCGACTGGCGCCAATAAACTATGCATGTGGAAACGCCGCTTTAAACGTGATACATTTTTAAAACTGCTTGAATTCTGCATGTCAGCGTCTCTAGATTTGTTCTGATTTTAATATGTTTGTGATTTTTAATATGTTATGTAATTGTGATTTTAATATGTTATATACCCAGAGGTGGGCACAGTTAATCGAAAAGTTAACTTCGTTAATCGTTAATTCGCTACTTGAAAAGTTAACTTCGATAATCGTTAATCGTTAAATTTTTGAGAATAAAACGCAAGTTAAAGTTATCCGTTAAGAGTTAATCATCGAAAAGTTATGCCGATGTTTGAAGCCAATTATAAGTAATAGATAATTGAAATAGAATAGACTGGGCTAGGGTATAGTATTTTTAATACCTATTTGGAAGTATCGGTCGTTTTAGATTGGTTGGTAATTTTCTGTTTCATCTGATTCATGATTGATGAACAAGGATGGTGTTATTCCCAATGGGTACTAAAAATACTATACCTACACTCCTACACAGGTGAATCTGAATAAAACAAAAAGTATCTAGATCTAGAAAGCGGCACTTTTCCCAATTTAGGTAGCTGATTTATTTATCATCCACCTCTGCATGAAAAAGGAGTTCCAAACTGCGTAGTGTAGCGAACTGAAATCTTCCGACGCCTGTGCGAACTGTTCCGATTAACCTTGACGCGCAGTTCAAGCCAAAAAAATGACGTCATTTACCAATGTAACGGACTAAAGTTAACGGAAGTCCAATGTAACGGAAGTTAAGAAAACCGTTAATATTTTTCAGGTTAACTTAAAAGTTAAATTTAAGCAATTTTTTTAACTTCATTAATTAACGGATAACGGATTAACAGTTTTCTGCCCAGCTTTGTATATACCCAATTGTAATTTTAATATGTATAAGAATAATGTGAAAAATTTGTATGTAACATGTGTGGAAAACCCCTTTTTCCACTCATGATTGTCACACTCACCTGACATTAGTCAAAAAAGCTTCACTTTACACACTTGTTGTATAAGTAGCTAATATACATGTATTATACCTACCTGTACTAAGGCAAAGTATGTATGTGATACTTAGACCAATCAATTGTAACTGTTTAGAGCTCGGTTTAAAGTAAAGACGAAATATTAGTATTCTATCAGCATAAATAAACAAATTTGAATTTGATTAGCTGTGTAATTTTGTTGTAATTTCTATAAATAGATCACCTACAAAATTCTTTCCTAAGGGCCAAATTATGGACTGACTGGTAAACATCTGGTTGTTACCTAGCAGGAACTTTCTATGCACTAGAGCCAGACACTTCAGTTTCTCCATAATTTGGCCTGAAATGGGTCTTTGATCAGCCAACTTGAAGTTGCCTAGATTAGATAGGAAAAAACTTTACAACTACAACATACAAGGAACATAGATTTTAGACCCCAGATATGGCATTTATTTTGTTATTATGCGGAACTTTCCATCTATTCAAACTGAATCATCAATTTATTATTGAAACTTTGCCCACTTACTTACCACTTTGTTTTCATGTTAAAAATGCATTATGCAATGCAACTGTAATGTTTATATTAGTAATATAATGAATAAAGGAATGGAAAATGAGTCTGCTTTCAAATAACCACGAATTAATAAAGGAAAATTAGGAAAAATTGAGAAAAATATACCTGCATAAGATAGAGCTGTAGCCATTTTTGTGTGATGTGTTTATTTTATTGTCCAGCTGATTTTGACATTTGCTGGTGCTGCCACCTATCCAACATTTAAGGCACCCATATATTCCATTGTTCTATATTAATAATAATTAAAATTAAACTGATATAATTATTAATTAATATTAATTAACAAATAAAGTCTTCAAATAAATGAAAAATATATCCAGATTTGCCCGTTACAGGCCTGGAAGAAACAAATAAAAGCATTCTATAAAAAGAAAACACCTTTTTTACAGATTTCTGCCTGTCAGGCAAAATGTCATAATATGAAATGTCATTTTTATTTCATTCCAAAATCCAAACAAAACAAATCTAACAAGTAAACAAAAAATATTAAATGATAATATTTCCTATATTTGAAGTTGGAACGGGAACGGGAACAACGAACGGTGACGGGAACGGTGGAGTTTATAAATCACACTTAATAGCTAAACTAAAAAAACATAACTAGATATTTAATGTATCCTTGCCTTATATCCTGTCCTGATTGAATCATTAAAGACCTTCACATATTCTGAAATACAAAATGGCAAATATAAAGACCCAAAACAGCAGGAAAAAAGTGCAGGTAAGCTACTAAAATAATCCTCTTCTATACAGAAGCTTTAAACAATCAAATTCAATACAAGTAAAAACTTAATTTTCAACTTTCAATAGGTGTCTATGGTAATATGCGAATCAGAAGAAAGAAAACATAGATCGGGTGTAAATGCCCTACAGTTTGACCCGCAATTGGATAGACTCTATTCAGCTGGCAGGGACTCTATTATAAGGGTGCACGAGCATGAACGTTTCATCCATGGAATGGAACACCATACGGATTGGGTGAATGATATTGTTTTGTGTTGTGGAGGAAGACATTGTAAGTAGGAATTTTCGTTAGGAGAAATAATCAGTTCAGTAACAAAATAATACAAATCGAATTTTTCATTCTGGCAGATTTTTAATTTCTTGTTGGTGAATAATAATAATGATATTATCAGAGGAGTTAGTCACAACATATTTACAAGTGTACAAGAGATATCTTAATGCAAAATATATCCACAGGTTTTCCTAAGATTTCCTCAAATCTCCCAAGATTTTGCTAGATCTCCCTAATTTTTCAGGGTTTTCATAGAATATCAGCACAAGTGCATAGCCAGAACACAACTATTGAGGTCTTCGCCTTGACACAATATGTGCATTTTCTCTTGATCTTGATCTATCACTTTCCTAACAATATCAAAGCTACATTTATGACAATATAGAGTCTATAATATTTTTATTCCAGTGGAAAACCTGGTAACATTATCCTCCTGAATATTTTCAATCAATAGAAAATTGAATTTTGAAGAGGTCCACAGTTTCCCTCAGTAAGATTTCCCCAAATATCCCTCACTTCTTCCATAGATCTCCTTAGTCTCCAAATCTCCCCAGATTTCCTTCAAATTCCCCTGAATCTCCCCCAGGGATGGCATACACAAAAAACCATTTTGAAAACCCAGTGGGGTTTTGACACAAAAACCCACCATCAATGGTGACGAAAACCCAGTGGGCTTTTTGTATCAAAAACCCATTCATACAGAAAATTATCAACTGCTTTAATTTGGAACTTTTTTTATTAAATAAACTCATTCCTGCCATAGTGACCACAGATTAACAAATATCAATCGAAAATCTAAGATTACTTATACCACAGTTTCCGAGACAGTTTCTTATACCAACCAAGGATACCAACAATAAGCTAAATTATTGAAATAATTCTCCTATTCCAGGCTCTTGAATTTGTTTTAAATGTTCGTAATTTACTCAGTAATTTAGTAGTCTGAACTAGACAACATTTTGAGTGAAAAATCAAAGTAGTAAAGAGAAAAAACTACTCCACTAAGTACATCAACAATCTTGCTCTGGATCTGAGGAATTTGGAACTTGGGTTCCAAACTTATGAGCCAATGAAAATTCCTCTCAAATCTTTCCCCAAATCTGAGGCTCAAAAAATATGAGCAAATCATAGAATCTGATAGTTGAGTTGCTCAAAAGCTCTATGTTTGTCATCTGGAACTGTATTTTAGTCAATGACATATTATTCACATATTATTTTAGCTCTAAATTTGACAAAATCAAAATACTTAGCTGTAAATAAGATGAGCCTAATGAATTTGAAAAAGTTTCTTGAAAATTTCATTTCTAAAATCTCCAAAATCTTGTCCATTTAAAATACACTTGACTTTGCTTTGAATCTGAGATATCTGGAAATACATATAAGCATATCACAGAATCTGAAAATAAATTCAAAGAACACTAAAGTTAGGATTAATAGCAATAAATAAATAGAGAATTTTACTGATTAAAAACAATAAGATAAATTATCGAAAGTAATTTTCCTATTCCACTCTCGAAATTGTTTTGAATGTTTGTAATTTATTGGTCTCAAATACTTAGACAATAATTGGAATGGAAAATGAGAGTAGTAAAGAGAAAGAAACCACTCCCCTACACCAAAATTCTTGCTCTGGATCTGAGAAATTCAAAACTTGGCTTCTAGATTTATGAGCCAATGGAGCTTTTTCTCAAATCTTTCTCTGGATCTGTCGGCTCAGGGAAAATATGAGCAAATCATAGACTCTTATAGTTAAAGTGCTCAAAAACTCTATCTTTGTCATCTGAGCTGTATTTTAGCTCTAAATTTGACAAAATCAGAATACTTAGGTGTAAATAAGGTATAGAATCTGGAACATTTTCTTGAAAATTTCATTTTTATAATCTTCAAAATCTTGTCCATTTAAAATACGCATGACATTGTTCTGAATCTGAGATATCTGGAAATATAAGCAAATCGAAAAAATCTGAAAATAAATTTAAATAAAACTAAAGTTAGGATTAATAACAATAAATCACGGATTATTCACGTTTTTTTTATCCATACATATAAAAGGAACTTTTTTCAATATACGTAACTACTAGTAGTAGCATAACTAAAAAAAGAATTTGTGCTCATGAACTAATAAATAATATAAGTACAAGTTGACTGTTGAGTAAACACAAAATCCTAAAAAAACTATCAGAAAAACCCAAAAGAAATTTTCAAAAATCCGGGCCAACACTGAATATTTCCAGATTTCTCTAAACCATATCTCCTGCAGGGTGTACACGGGACATCCTGTTGTGAATGACTCCAAGGTGATTTCTATCTACGTATTCTATAAGTTTGGTGGCACTAAGGGTATTTGTGCCTTTCTACTAGTATAAATATGTCACAACAGCTTTGAAAAATAGTATTACAATGCTATAACTTCAATCATAATAATTTAATTTCAATCAACACTTTCAAATGATTAAAAATTATTATGCAACAACCCCTGCAACTTATATATTTGCATATTTTAACCCCTCATCTACTGGGTGGAGGTAAAAATGTAAATGTAATATTGAGGGGTAAACCGCCAATGTATTCCAATGTACTAGCCTTATGTAATCCCATATAATCTCAAGTATTTTTACTTTCTCATGATTCATCACTAATCATAGACCAAGACATAGACAATAATACCTCATATATCGCAATTTTAACGAAATTGAAATACCTAGGCGAATTTGAAAACCAAGTTGAAAAAGCTTACTAATGTCACTATGGCTCGAGAAAACACGAGAAAAACATTGTTCAGATTTGTGTATGTATTACTATGTATTTTTATGTACTCTGATGTAGCCTCCTGCCCCTGTAGTCATATGTATTCATATGCATTTCTATGTATTCTTATGTATTCCTTTATACTCCATGTATTCATTGTACTACAAATTTTGCTGGCGGTTTACCCCTTGATTTATGAGGTTTACTTGAGGGGTCAACCCTCTGGTCAAACACTATGCTCACAAATGTACCGGGTGATGTCCAAATGTCTCTATTTTACACCCACACCTATCTCACCTGTTTGAAGAGATACCCAGAAATGTCAAGTGTGAAAGTTGTAGGTAATATCATTAACTTTGAAATGAAGTTAGCTACAAGTATATAAGGTGTGTCACAAAAGTGTGGCGAAGGAAAGTTATACTTTTTCAAATGTATATTATTGACCTATTGGATTATCATTCCAAACCTGATTCTAAATATACAAAGTTTTTTAGGTTTATTCCTCATAGTCCAGCCTCTGAATATCCCATTTTGAAGAATTAATATGGATTTTTTACTGGAATGATTACCGAAATGATTACCTTTATATTTTGCTGGTGGTCTCTATACTTCACCTTTTTCAATAAAAATGCAATGATTCCACCCTTTTTTTTCTTATTTTCTCCCGGACTATTAGGATTAAACCTAAAAAACCTAGTATATTTGGAATCAGGTTTGAAAGGCTAATCCAATGGTTCAATAATATGTATATGGGGTGTTTCATTTAAAAAAGTTTAACGTTGCCTTGTCACACTTTTGTAACACACACTGTATAATTGTAGCTAACTTTATTGAAAAATTTCTAATATTACCTACAACTTTCACATTTGACATTTCTGGGTATCTCTTCAAACAGGTGAGATAGGTGTGGGTGCAAAATATAGACCTGGTACAATGATTTCCATATTTGGCAATCTGATCAATGAATCTCATGTATTCCCATCCCAAGAATTGCAACTGATTGCCAATGATTTTCAGTTATTTTTGTATGATCACCAGGTGATTTACATTTTTCTGGGGATTCCTATATCATTTCCAATTGATTACCTGATTTCCTCAATAATTTCCTAGATGAAAGTGCATATCGATTTTGTTATATCGAATAGAGACAAAATGTCACTGTTTTAAAATGATCATCCACCTTCATATATTCTCTATTTCAGGTTATTAGAGTTTCTTTATTTCAAGAGCCAAATATTTAGCAGGAAAAGTTGAGGAACGATACACCTTCGACGAAGGTGCATATCGATACACTTTTGATGAAGGTGCTTATCGATTTTGTTATATCGAATAGAGACAGAATATCACTTTTTTAAATGATCATGCACCTTCATATTTCCTCTATTTCAGGCTCTTGAAGGTTCTTTATATCAAGAGCCAGTAATAGACAAATATTGAGCAGGAAAAATTGAGAATCGATGCACCTTCGATGAAGGTGCATATCGATTTTGTTATATCAGAAAGAGACAAAATGTCGATGTGTTATAAATAATCATGCGCCCTCTTATATTCTCTATTCCTGGCTTTTGAAGGTTCTTCATTTCAAGAGCCGGTAATAGACAAATATTGAGCAGGAAAAATTGAGAAATGATACGCCTTCAATAAAGATGCATATCGATACACTTTCGATGAAAGTGCATATCGATTTTGTTATATCGAATAGAGACAAAATATCACTGTTTTAAAATGATCATGCATCTTAATATGTTTTGTATTCCAGGCTCTTGAAGGTTCTTTATTCCAAGAGCCGGTAATAGACAAATATTGAGCAGGAAAAATTGAGAAACGAAACACCTTCGATGAAGGTGCGTATCATCCGATTTCCAGCTGATTTTATTACAAAAACGATGTCTAATTGTTAAGCTTCGCATTGATATGATCAAAATAAACAGTCTTTTCTCTTATAAAAACACGTTTCCACTGAAAAATTGGCAACTTCTGTATTTGCAACTCTTCCAAAAGTTAGCAACTTTTTATGGTTGTCCACACCCACACTGATTTTGTTGTAGGTATTAATCGAGGTATTAATAGTTGTTGAGCCCTAGATACCATTGCGTGTCTACACTGCATAATATGGATCTAAAATAATGGATATTACTGTGATTTCACTAGGATTTTCATCTGAATCAGAGACATCTTCAGTTGGGGTTCCACTCTACAAACTTATTTCTGATTCGGATTCAGAAAAGATGTGTTATCTTCTGTGCTTCTCGCCCTACCTAGTATTTATTCTACTTTCCCTTTTCAAGTTCTTATTGCCTTGGATTTCCGACTTTTTCTTTTGTGACTTTTTCAGGGACATTTCTATAGCTCTTAATACTTGATCGACGAACGACCCTGCTTTTCTGGAAAGAACCAAATCAAAGTTGAGAACTGAATACCTAATCTCTTAATTGTAGCGAATCGCAATTGCCAAACCCTGATGTGTGAAAAAATTCTGTGTCTTCATTTGGCAAGTCGGATTCGAGAGAGGTTTCAAGATTCATGCTTTCATTTTTATGATTTACAACATTGTCATACTTTAGGTCTGTTCTCACAGAAATCACAAACCGGTCAGAGGGAAATTCATTGGTTGAAAATAGTCAGAAAACTGGTTGTTGGATTTGCATCAATCAAAAACGACTGGTTTGTGATTTCTGTGAGAACAGACCTATTCTTCATTTCGTTCTTCTTCTCTTTCAAGTTCTTAACTCTTCGTACTCGTAGTCTCGGGTTCAGTTATTGGCTCAGTTACTAGGAAACTCGGGATATCAAATACATTTCAAATTGTCTAGCACTCAATGTTGCCTTAAACTTAGTCTTAATACGTTGAGTGCCACGTGTATCCAACATGGATACATACATCACCATGTTTCAGGGGCCACATGTATCCACTTTGGTTTTTTTATTTTTGGCCGTGTGTATTCACGTTAGATACAGGCTTTGCATGTATTGTTATGGGAGCTTTTATATAGCGGACTGGGGTACCCCAAAAACGGTTTTGCCTGCGGATTTTATTTCTGTTTTTTTTTTTTACCGACGGATTTATGAATGAGGACATATAAAAATTGGTTTATTTAGTAAAATAGTATATTGCACAAACATACGGTGGAATAAAAACGTATACATGTATTTTTTTATAATTTCAACTCATAAAACCCACTTATTTATGCATTGTTGCCAATGAAACGCCTTATAAGGAACCAAGTTAAAAACATGTAAATTCTTTTAGTGATTTCTGCAAGCTCAGATACAACAGTTAAAGTTTGGAACGCCTACAAAGGTTTTTGCATGTCCACATTGAGAACACACAAAGACTACGTAAAGGCCCTAGCCTATGCTAAAGACAAAGAACAAGTTGCCTCGGCAGGTTTTGATAAATCAATTTATTTATGGGACATCAATACTCTAACAGCCCTAACGGCTTCAAATAATACTGTTACAAGTAAGTAGTAATAATTTATTGATAACTTGAAATAATTTTAATAAAATTCCAGCTTCTAGCTTAATTGGAAGTAAGGAATCTATTTATAGCCTAGCAATGAATCCTCCTGGTACAATTATAGTCAGCGGATCAACAGAAAAGGCTTTAAGATTGTGGGATCCTAGAAGTTGTGTTAAGCAATGCAAGCTTAAAGGTCATACTGAAACTGTTAAGGCTCTAGTTGTGTCAAAGGATGGTACTCAATGCATTTCAGGTAGTAGTGATGGCTCTATTAAAGTTTGGAATATTGGCCAACAAAGGTAATGGGTAATTTTGCAAAATAAGCTTTTTTTAAAAAATATTTTGTTATAGATGTGTCCAAACTATACTAGTTCATACCGATTCTGTTTGGGCTCTTTTGGCAACAGAAAACTTCACACATATAATATCAGGAGGCAGAGACAAAAAAGTCGTAGTAACAGAACTGAAAAACGTCCACTGCAGTATTCTGGTGTGCACAGAAGACGCGCCAATTCTTAAAATGTGCTTTACCAACGACCAAACGGCTATTTGGGTATCCACATCCAACTCGACAGTCAAATGTTGGAAATTACCCATGGAGAGGCATTTTAAAGCAGAAATTCCTATGCCCACACAGCCAACGTCTATGATAGCTGGAGATGCTGCCATAGTCAAAGCTACAGTGCTAAATGACAAAAGGCATATTTTGACTAAGGATTCTTGTAGTGTTGTGGCGTTGTATGATGTATTGAGGGTGAGGATTTATTTTTGATTTGTCATTATGTATACTCACTTGAAATTGTGAATTTGTGCATAAATACTGAATACTGGAATGAAGATTTGTACAGCATCAGACTTAATTCTTTAAAAGATGTTTGTACAATGTTCCTAATGTAAAAAATACAATTATCAGAAAAGGCAATGGAGTGAAGAGTCTATTGGATATAGCTCTTCTATCTTCTTTGTCCTTTGTCCCTTCTATAAGTACTTATACAGGATAATTATAATTTTTTAGGCTAGCAAAATAGAAAATTTAGGTCCGGTGAACTATCAAAATGAAATAAATGCAAGAAATAGTGCAAAATTAATGTACGTACCAAATTGGTTCAATATGGATCTGAAAACAGGGGTAAGTTATTTGCAATTAACTACTAGCAAGTATTTTTTTGAAAGATTTTACATCCTAGACAGCTAAGACAACATTTATTTTATTTCAGATGCTAACAATTCATTTAGGCCAAGACGAAGTAGATTGTTTTTCTGCCTGGGTTTCGGCGAAAGACGCCGGTATCAGCGACCATCCAGAACCCGACCACAAAGTCAATTATGGCAAGTTGCTATTGCAAGCCTTATTTGAACATTGGAGAGGAGTTCAGACTGATCAGGAAAGTAAAATTTATTTTACCGTTCCCAAACACATTCCGTTAATTTTAAGGTAAGTTTTTTTTTTTTGTTGCTGAGAATTTAGTTGTTGAGGTTTTTTTTTTTGTAGTGAAATTGGTGGTAGAACACTCTACAGGGTCTTGGTTGGTGATACTGGAGGTGAAACAGAGAATGCTCTACTAAATGAAACAGTGCCAAATTGGGTTATATCGAATATTGAAGATAATTGTACTAGTAAATTCACAAAAGTGCAATTCTATTTGAAACCTCATGCTAGTGTGCCATCAAATTTGTTGAAGCAGGATAGACTTAAAAAGGTAAAATTTCTATAAGATGTAATAGTTTATGATTTACATAATATTTTTAGGCTGACAGATTAGTGGCAAACGATTTCATCCAATGTAGAAAAGTAGCAGAACATGTTCTAGACAAATTACTAGGAGAAGGAACCGCGACGTCACCAGGTGGAGGAGGAGACGGTGACTCTCAGACTCAGAACAACAGCGGATATACAGTGGATCAGATCCAATTGACTTGCTCTGATCAGGTAAGATACACGATTTTTTTATTATTTGTATTATGTAGAGAATTTTTTTTTTTTTTAGTCTGTTGATCATTCTATGGATTTGCGGACGGTGAAACATTTCATGTGGAAATACTCGTCAGATTTGGTTTTGTTTTATAAAATCATCAGTAAATGAATTGAATGCATTGTTTTTTTGTTTGATCTGAGTAGAACGGGTAGATAATGTATGACTTATATTTTATAAATGGTAAGTGTTAGTATTAATGGCAATCGTGTAATTGTAGTAGGTTCAGTTTGTAGATAATATTATGTATTTATTGTTATTTTTCATTGTACAGATAGTATTTATTTGACAGAAATTTATCTATTTTGTGCAAAAAATAAGTGAGAAAATCTAAAGAATATGAGTGGTACATATGACTCATTGATAGTTTATTGACTATACATCAAATCAGGGTTGGCAACCTAACAAAAACTTAATTATAAAGAAAACTAATGTTTTTTTTTTTTCTGATGAACAATTAATTCTTCCTAGGGTTTTTTTGAAAATCATAGTTAATTGACCACAGGAACAGGCTTGCCAGATACCAAAAAAAAAACAGACTTTTTATTTATTTCAAATTATATTATGAGTTTACTTGATGTTTTAGATCCAACCTTGGATCCATCCTGGTTTTTTGCCAACCCTGTGTGAAATCTGTATATCCCTTGGATAAAAACTTGGAATATGTTCTGACATTCTCATTAAGTGTGTTAAAGGAAGTGAAATGATTATAGTATTTTTTCTTATATTTGTACAGGGTGGGCCAATTTGGACACTTTCTTATGGAAACACCCTTTCTTTTTAGAGATAGAGAAAAATGAACTCCCCACTCTGAGGCTCAAATTTCATGAAATTTTGATTGGTGTAAACCGCATTTTGATATCTTCAACCGTTTAGCCGCTAGAGGGCGATTCTCGATTTTGAGCAATCTTGTAAAACCTTAATAACTTTTTTGTTTATGAAAATAATTGATTTCCGTAAAAACTTTCTGGAAGCACTTTTTCAAGCAGAATTCAGTGACGTTCTCAGTTTTTTTCTATTTGGCGCCGATTTTGAGATATTGACCAAGGACTGATTTTTTTCAATAGGACACCCTCTATATTAATAGCTCATTGAAAAGGTATGATTTTTCTGATTTTATTGATATAAAGTTCGATAAGTTTATCTCTAACCGTTTTCGAGAAAAAAAATTATTTCGGTTTTTCTCATAAGAAGCAATGTGTTAGAAAAGGATTTTATATCTGTAAGGAAAATGAAAAAGGTCTCTTTCTAACATATTGTTTCTTATGACAAAAACCAAAATAATTTTTTTCTCAAAAACTATTCGAGATAAACCTATCGAACTTTATATCAGTAAAATCAGAAAAATCATAGCTTTTGAATGAGCTAATATTATAAAGGGTGTCCTATTGAAAAAAATTAGACTTTGGTCAATATCTCAAAATCGGCGCCAAATAGAAAAAAACTGAGAACGTCACTGGATTCTGCTTGGGAAAGTGCTTCCAGAAAGTTTTTACGGAAATCAATTATTTTCATAAACAAAAAAGTTATGAAGGATTTAGAATATTGCTCAAAATCGAGAATCGCCCTCTAGCGGCTAAACGGTTGAATATATCAAAATGCGGTTTGCCCCAATCAAAATTTCATGAAATTTGAGCCTCAGAGTGGGGGGTTCATTTTTTCCTATCTCTAAAAATAAAGGGTGTGTTTCCATAAGAAAGTGTCCAAATTGGCCCACCCTGTACATAATTTTTGTAATGTTCTTTTGATTATCACCGTGACTTCTCATAAATTCCAAATATTTGCTTCCAGAATACAAAAAATTAATGTTTAATTTTCAGAAAGTTTGTTTAAAATTGGATTTAGGTTGAAACAACTTTTTTACCAAACATTGCCAATTAAGTTTTGTAACATGTAAAACGATGTATTATAGAAATTATTGAGAAAAATCCTATGCTGTAATTCAGTATAGAATTATTGTACGAAAAGTTTAGAAATGTTTTGTTGATTTTTGAATTAAGTAAATCTGAAATAATTTGTTTTTATGTTAAAATTTATGTAAACTTACGTCTATATTTTACATAAAGGCGTTTAAATTAAAATTGTGCACCTCCATTAACTGTTTTGTTTTTATTAAAAATCCCCCATATATTTATAACAAATTATTAAGAGAGATTCACTGTAGCTCTTTTTCAACACAGCAGGAAATCGTACAATGTAGCGTCACGAATTTGCGCAAAACCGAAAATTTGGGCCAAAAAAGGAGCTACGTGTTCTTTTTTTTTTTAAGTCAGTTAAACGAAAGTCAAGTTAAAACCTGGTTTATTCTTCTTCTGATAAACTTTAGGGTAATTCATTTTTACAAAACTTTCTTTTTTTCTATCAAGTTGCCTCAGTTTTGGATTTTTTGTCATCGTGTCTAGTTTTAAATTTTGCTTTGAATTTGAATGGATTGAACATCCAAGGAAATTAATTATTTTATACTTTTTACCGACGGGTCTACCACTATGCTTATGAATGTATAATGATTTCCATATTTGGCAATCACTGATCAATGAATCTCATGTATTTCCATCCCAAGAGTTTCGTCTGATTGCCAATGATTTTCAGATATTTTTGTATGATTACTAGGTGATTTCCATTTTGTTTCTGGGGATTCCGATATCATTCCCAATAAATTACCTGATTTCCTCGATGATTTCCTTCAATCATCCGATTTCCAGCTGATTCCAAAATAAACAGTCTTTTCTCTCATAAAAACACGTTTCCACTGAAAAATTGGCAACTTCTGTATTTGGAACTCTTCCAAGAGTTAGCAACTTCAGTTAGGGTTTCACTCAACAAACTTATTTTTGAGTCTGATTCAGATGTACTATCGTCTCTGCTTCTCGCACTGTCTAGTATTTATTCTACTTTCCTTTTTCAAGTTCTTATTGCTTTGGATTCCTGACTTTTTCTTATGTGTCGTTCTCAGGGACATTCCCATCGTTGTTAATACTATATCGACAAAAGTCCCTGCTTCTCTGGAAAGAACCAAATCGAAGTTGAGCCCTGAATAATTTCTAAATTGTAGCGAATCGCAATTGCTAAACCCTGCGATGTCTGAAGAAATTCTGTAACTTCTTTTGGCAAGTCGGATTCGAGAGATGTATCATGATTCACGTTTTCATTTATATGCTCTATAACATTGTCATACTTTAGGTGTGTTCTCACAGAAATCACAAACCAGTCAGAGCGAATATCATTGGTTGAAAATAGTCAGAAAACTAGTTGTTAGCGATTTGCGCCAATCAAAAACGCTTTGACTGGTTTGTGATTTCTGTGAAAACAGACCTAATCTTCATTTCGTTCTTCTTCTTCTTCAAGTTCTAAACTCTTCGTAGTCTCGGGTTCAGGTATTGGGAAACTCGTTGGGATATCAAATTCATTTCAAATTGTCTATCACTCAAGTTGCCTAAAACTTACTCTTAAAGGCAAATACACAACTGACCGGTACGCTGTATCGTTTAAAATGTATGATATTCGATATCTGGGTGAAAATGAGATAATGATTCTCAGCGATTGCCAATGGATTCTTATGTTATTCCCATGGAGTCCTAGGAGATTCCTAGCGAATCCTAGGTTATTCCCAGGAATTTCCATGTATTTCTGATTGATAAAATCTATGTGATTCCCAAAAAAACGAGAGGCGTTTCACTCTCAAATCTCTTCGCAATCGCAGAAGTCGCTACCGAAATCTCGCAATCGCTGCCGAAATCGGGAAGTCGCAGCCGAAATCAGGAAATCGCAGCCGAAATCGGGAAATTGCGGCAGAAATCGCGCAGTCTTGGCGGAAATCCCACAGTCTCTGTGCGGAAATCACGCACAATTAACTTCAAAAATCGTCGCGATCACTGCGGAAATCTAAACATCGTTATCGTAATAAAAAGGGATGAGACATCGTGGGTAACAGTCGTGGCCATTTTAGGTTATAAAATTCGAGAAATAATTGATAATTTTTTTTTCTGTTTGCTCCACACTAAATGTAAAAGAAAAGACTGGCAATATAAAACTATACAAAAACTGCAATACAGTGAGAAGTGAATTTTATTAATAACTGGACACAAGTACAAGCCTATACACAAATAGTATCAGAGAAAATTCAGTTTGAAGATATTAATCTTGATCCTTGAAATTTTTCAAAAAAAAACTATAAGTGAAAAAAAGAGCTGATGCACAAATTCTAATTCCCTCGCTAACTCCTGAAGATGTAATGGACGAAGAGGAAGAAACGAAAATATTCGCAGATTTGGAAGAAACGAACTAATGATAAAAGCAAATATGACAAAAATAAATTGACTTCAATATCCGAAGTCTGTTTTGAATTCTTTATTCCACTGATATAGAAAATAGAAATTAGTGCAAACAAATGCCCTCACAAAGTCTACATGGCAAAAATCGAGGAAAAACTTATTTATTCTTCAGTGTGTACTTTCTTGTTGTCTGCGTATATTTTGAAACACAGTATTTACTATTATATTGGATGACCATACAAGTATATACCTACTTGTAGTTATTATAATGAAATAGGAGGTAAACTGCTACCCACGATATAAAAATGCTCGTAAAAATGTTATCAATACTTTGAAACTGCAAAGTAGGTAGATTATCCTAGGGAGACTGGGGATTGCGAGGAAATCGTGGCAGTCTCATAGAGAGTTCAAAGAAATCCCGGTCTTGACAGATTGCAAAGAAATCACCAAAAAGATTTCCTGGAAATCGCTGCAGTCACTTCTCAGAAATCTAAATCACCAAAATTGTTTAGTCATTGCGGAGAAATCGCCGAAATCGTTAAAAAAAAATACTGAAATTTCAGGGATTGCCGCAATACATGTACATTTTTTTGGTAGTGAAACACTCTCCGCAAAAAAATGTGCAATGATTTCCACTAGTGGTTTACCCCTCGCATTTTACGTTTCCAAAGATTTTCGGAAGTTTTCATACCTTTTCTTCTTACGTTGAATCCTGAGTTCTCTAAGATATTGGCATATATTTTTTACATGAAATTTCTCTTTAGACTATAATTTTTTACAACTACTAACAGAATTCGTCTATTGCAACCCGGTAGGGTAGGTGATTACTGTACTGTAATAGAAGTTTATAGAAACTCGAGGTGTATCACTGGGATCTCAAAGGCGTGAAATATACAGGACTTGAATTGATTGAGCCGATAACTCGATACTTAGTGAAAATTGAATTCCATGGTTGGGAAGAAGTGAGACTAAATTTTATTGAAATGTTTATAAACTTCCATATTTTTTGGAAATGGTTGAAGTATAAACACATTAGAATTCAATAAATCCAAGAACAAAAATAAATAATTTGAGTATTATTTATTCATATATTATATCACAAGAGCTTCAAATTTAATCGATTAAACTATCCAACATATTTTGAGCATGATTTTGCTTGGAAAATAGTTGAATGCACAATAACTTAGTAAAAGCTTTTATTTAAAAGTTATTGTGCATGAAACTATTTGCCAAAATGCAAAAAATATTGGGATAGTTTAATCCATTTAAATTTATAGGTCGAGTGGTATACGGCTAGATTACTTCCTGAATAATTAGGATTGAATTGTTGGCGTCAATCCTATCCAAAGAGTTATACTTATTATAAAATGTCAGAATATTTCTATCAAAATTCTGTCAAAAAAGGTAAACAAAAATTTAATCGCTGATAAACAAGGTCTTGTGAAATAATCACTTATTTAAACAAAATTCATTCAAAAAATGACGTTGTCTGATGGGTCTATTTTATAATGAATGAAATAATCATATTTATTATATCCAGAGTCTTTAGGAGTTATTTATATTACTAGTACAGTATGAGCTTCATTACAGTAACGAGGTCGTAAGTCCGAGTCGTGGAAATCACACAAATGCTGTATGCTGTAATGGGCGTTACTGTACAGGGTTATCTATTATAAATGTCGACCCCTGCTAACTTTCTCATTTAACGTTTTTGACAGAAGTGTCAAATACAAAAGTTTTAAGAAATTGTCAAAAGTTTTCAACTAAGTCAGTTTTAGGCATACAGGGTGCGTCAAAAAAGTGCAGCAGTGTGAAGTAACATTTTTTAAATAGAACTGTATATTGTGCGCTTATTTGTTAGTTCCCTTTAACCTGATTTCAACGATATACAGTTTGATATGTTTATCTCTCGGTTTATCTTCAATAGTTATAGGGAAAAACGCGAAAATCCCTTTCTAATGTCTGTTTTTTTTTTAAGATAATTCCCCAAGTCAAAAATTTTAGTAACTATGTTGGCAAGACAAGCGTTTTCTACATAAAAAATTTGAAAGCTTGACAATTTTCCATTGTATTGCCAACATAATGTCATTTTGACTTTTATCTTTAAAAAAAAAAAAACTTTAGGTCTCTCATGTTATTTTTTTAAAAATAATAATGTTAACTTTAGACATCTGGATTTATCATAATATTTCACCTTGTATATTAATGAATAAAATTTGAACAATAAACTGTTCACAAAAAAAATTCTCTAAAGCTTAAATGGTATAATTTTTCTTTTTTCAATATGATACCTGGAAAGGCGGGGGTTTTCATGTTTTTCGCTATAACTATTGAAGATAGACATATCAAATCGTATATCGTTGAAATCAGGTTAAAAGGGACTTACAAATAAGCGCACAATATACAGGGTGTTCCATTTAAAAAAATATAACTTCACGCTGTTGCACTTTTTTGACACACCCTGTATGCCTGAGATTAACTTAGTTAAAAACTATCGACAATTTCTTGAAACTTTTGTATCTGACACTTTTGTCAAAAATGTCAAATCAAAAAGTTAGAAGGGGGTGACATTTATAGTAGATCACCCTGTACATTGTATAACATTTATTTATTTTGATCAAATACCTCTTACGGACTTCGAGATATTGAAGCTTAAAGATTTAGAAGTAAAAATTTAAAGGATAGTTACCAGGTGTTTGTTGTTGTAAGGTAATATCAGAAAATTTTCAATGAAGTTAGTTACAAATATACAGGGTGTGTCACAAAAGTGCGGCAAAGCACAGCTAACCTTTTTAATATGGAACACCTCATAATACTGCCATT